AAGAAGGACAAGACAGGACGCCGACAAACCATCATATCACAATCCCAGCACAGCAACAGCATTTCCCCTCTTTCAACAGTGTATCACCATCTCCCCCAGATTCCCTCGCTGGCTCCACCCGGCGTTTTCCTTCCCCCTTTGCAATGGCATTTGTAGCATCGAGTGCATCGTGATTTGGCTCGCGGAGATGTGCTCTGAGGATGCGAACTTGTTCGAGCTCACGGTGACGCTGTTGAAGGGGCGACGTCGCTCGCGGCACTCCGGCCCACACAGTCGATGGCACGTTCCACACGGACTTCACACGCGCTGTTTCTATCGAGTGTCTATGATTGTATCAATGCGAATCTTTCGCGGGCGATTGACGCTTCAGAACTCGAAACTCCTCCCCAAATCCTTCTTGATCAGCTCCCTCATCCCGTCCGGCATGAGCGGCTGCTTTTCCCCACTCGCCAACGTCGCCCGTCCCTCATCGACCATATACCGGAAGGGCATCTCGACGCTCTCCCCCCTACCAAAGTGCAATTCGGGGTAGTTGACCCATTCCAGGCTCCCCTTTGCTTTTTCGACATCTCCCCATTGCACCTCTTGCGCCTTGGTGTCGTCCAGCGCCAGCACGAGGCCGTCTTCCACGCACCTCTTTGTTACGCCGAGCGCGGTGTCGGTGGTCATCTGCACGCCGCCGAGATGTCTTCCCGGGAAACCGAGTTGGCGCAGCGAGCTGGTACGATCTCTCGGTGGGTCGTCGCCGAGAATGCCGCCGTAGAGGAAGAAGTCGAAGGGTCCGCCTGCGTCGGCTGGCTTTGTGACGCTTTCGACCTTCCCTGCGTCGGTGATGGAGATAGCGAACGGCGCTTTGGGGTCCAACAAGCACACTTTGGACAGCGGCACCCCGCGCTGCTGCATCAGCGTCGTGATGCTCGCCGTGTGCAGCTCGAACGATGCTTGCTCTTGTGAGGTGGAGGAAGAGAGTTCCGTGCGGAGAGACTCGAGCGAGGCGTGCGAGAGCGAGGTAAAGTGAACGGTAGAGCCCGGTCCGACGAGCTGGAGCATATGACGGTACTCGAGCAGCGCCCAGGCGGGAAAGACGGAGGGCGCGGAGGGATCGTCCTCCTCCATATGCTCGATCACGTATTGTGGGCGGGCGGTGGACATGATTGCTGTGACCGGGCGACGCTGTTGACTAAGGTATGGTAAGGAGAGTGAGGAGCAGAAAGAACTTTTTTGTCGCCCTTTTTTTGCACCGGCGTTTTCTCCACAAATCCGATTTCCGACAACGCAATGCCACCTTGACCATGATCCATATACGCGGGTCACACCCCCTCACCTCCAATCCTCACCTTCAACGTCCCCTCATCTCATCTCCCAGCATCCCACGCAGCAGCTATGAAGTTGAAAGTCGGTTTGACAAGGGCGGAAAGGGCAAAGTGTTGATCTGGTGTTGTTCTCCTCCACCCCACGACCGCCGCGGCTGCTTAGCCCATTAAAATCCACAGCCAGATCGGGGGACCCAATCCCGATTTGCTGCGCCGCAATCTTCCAGCTGTGACTTCTTGAGCAAGGTGTGGATCAAGCACGAGCCAATTTCGCGTCCTTCCGACAGACACACAAGCTCTTTGTCCTTCATTCAAATCCGACACTCGACTCCTTTCCGCACCATCATCCTTCGCACACTCAGTCCATCAAAGCATGGTTCGTCTCAACCTCGCCGTGGCCGCTCTGGCAGCAGGCGCCATCTCGGCTTCCGCTTCTTCATCACAGCATGCCACCACCAAGCCATTGCGCGGTGTCGCTCCAGCAGGTACGTTCTTCCTCCTTTCTATTCATTGTCCGCGCATCTCATACTGATGCGGACTATCTTTTTATCAACAGACGCTGCCAAATATCAACCCATCAAGAACGCACAAGGACAAATGAGATGGAAATGCCTCGACGGATCCAAAGAGGTCGCCTGGTCCGCGGTCAACGACGACTATTGCGATTGCCCAGACGGATCCGACGAACCAGGCACCTCGGCCTGCCCTAACTCCACCTTCTACTGCGCCAACACCGGCCACATCCCAGCCTCCATTCGCTCGAGTCGTGTCGACGATGGCATCTGCGACCCCGAATGCTGCGACGGCACCGACGAGTCCGATGGCAAAGTCCACTGTCCCAATCGATGCGAAAAGGTCGGCAAGGAGCACCGCAAGAGGACCACCGAGCTCGAGAACCTACGCAGAGCAGGAGGCAAGATCCGCGACAAGTACATCGCAGACGGCCGCAAGGAGAAGGAGAACCTCGAAGCAGAGATTGCCAAGCTCGAGATAGAGGTACAGGTGGCTACCGAGAACGAGGCCCGCTTGAAGCAGGAGTTGGCCCGCGCAGAGACCTCGGATAAGGCTGTCATCGACGCGAAGATCAAGACGCCGCTCTATGCCAAGCTCACCAATCGACAGCAGGCCATCAAGACGCTACAAGACAAGAATGCCGCACTCAAAGCCGAGCTCGAGACCCTCACGCTCTTGCTCGATGACTTGGCCAAGGGCTACAACCCAAACTACCAGGACATGGCCGTCAAAGGTGCTGTCGTCGCGTACAAGGAGTGGCGCGGGATCGCCGCAGGTGATGTCAAGCAAGAAGCCGACACAGCCGAGCCCAACAACATTGACCAGCTCGCCGGGGAGAACACCAAGCTCAGCGAGCTCCTTGATGAGGGTGATTGGCCCTCTGACAAGCTTACCGCTCTGATCAGCGAAGACGTGCTCGATATCATGGACGGCGGCCTAGCAGGTGCCGGCATCGACAAGCGGGTATCCGCCACGGAATCCGACGGCGGGCTGCTCTTCCGTATTCACGAGTACATGCCCGATCAGCTCGTCCCCTACTTCGAAGCCATGGTCGACACGCTTCTCGACGTGCTCATCAAAGCCAATGTCATCACCGACGTCAAGCGCATGCGACCCAAGTCGACCTCTTCTTCGTCATCGACCACCGACGAGCCCGAGAACGTCTCTGCCGCTCGTCGCGCGCACACCGACGCAGCCAACCACCTCTCTCGCACCACGCACGACCTCTCGACGCGCAAGAACAAGCTCTCCGACTTTTCCTCGCGCTACGGCCGCCAAGCCGAGTTCAAAGCGCTCGAGTCCAAGTGCTTCTCCAAGGACATGGGCGAGTACACGTACGAGTACTGCTTCTTCGGTCGGGCTACGCAGATCCCCAACAACGGCGGTGCGCAGATCTCGCTCGGCAGCTTTACCAACTTCAACCCCAAAAACGACCGCAAGCCGGAGGAGGACGAGTTCTGGTTGCAGCAGATGTATGCGCGTGGGCAAAAGTGCTGGAATGGCCCTGAGAGGAGCGCTATTGTGGATCTCGAGTGCGGGGTGGAAAACAAGGTGCTGGACGTGTTTGAGGCGGAGAAGTGTATCTATTCGATCAAGGTGGCGACTCCGGCGGTGTGCTTCCCTCCCGCATCGGCAAGGGAGCAGGCGCAGAAGCAGCAGGGAGAAAAGGAGGGAGCTGCTGGACAGCCGGTCAAGGACGAACTCTGAGACGAACACTGTTGTACAGCAGGCAATTCACATAAACCTCACCCACACCGTCCTCGGCTGTCTTGTGTGGTCTCTTCGATTGGATTGCCGCGATGCGCGATGCAGGTGAGTTGCGCAGGTCGCGGCGAGGCCAGCCTGCGATTGAACTCACTTATTCACTCAACTTCAGTGGATCCATCATGCCCTGGCGGGACACAGCCAGCTCGTTTGAGCGATTCGTCCCGATGGAAGATGGTATTTTGGTGCGAGTGAGTACGCCGCCTAACAAAGTGTGCAATGGTATTACAGATGATGCGTGAAGACTTCGATCAAGCATAGGTATCCACCAATGCATCGCGCAACTCGTTGACGGTGTCACCGCCGTTCTGTGCGCCTGTGAGCTTGAAGACGCTCTCAATGACGCTGATCTCGGTCGCCGTTGCGTCGGTTCCACAGAAGGCGGCAAAGTCGTTGACGACCAGGCCGGCGCCGATGAGATCCGAACCGCGGTTGACGGTTCCTGCTACGAGGGGCACTTGCAAGAGCGACGACAGCTCGTCCTGGTCCTGCAGCGAGGTTCGTGGGTGAGTGAGGGCGCCTTGGTTGGAAATGGCCGAGTAGGACCCGACGAGGACATTGTCACCGACGGTCTGACGGAAGACTTCGACCTTGAGCACGTCGGCGATGATCTCTTCGGTTTCGCGGTCGAGATCCGGGTGGACGAGCGCGACGTAGTCGTTGCATGCAATGACGTTGCCTAGCGCCGAGAGACGCTCCTCGACGCGCTGGATGGCCACGGCTTCCGGCAACGAGTTTCTCAAGTGTTGAAGCTCCTGATCGGTGGTTGTGGAGGGAACTAGGAGACCGTGACGGTTGCCGACGGTGAGGCGCCCGACGAGACGCGTACCTGCGATGGAGCAGTGGACGACAGGGATGACATCGGCAAGCTCGGCCTCAAAGGTGGAGTAGAAGTTGGCACTGCCGCCGATGGCGACGAGACAGTAGGCGTTGGTGAGACGCGCAAAGACGCCGATCTCGGACGAGTTTTCGAACTGGCAACGGACAGCCATGATGGGAGTGGTGGTGGTGGGAGTAGCGGTTATAGTAGCGGTGAGGGTCAACGTGGGAACTTCGAAAGGGGGAGGCGTTTGACTACGTGTGTATCGTACTGCTGTTGAGCGTTAGGATGGGTTCTCGAATTGAGGTACGGATGACGATGGCAGCTTATATGGACGATGAATGCCCGAAGAAAGTGTTGTTGAAGCTGAGTTTCTGTCTGGGAAAGAGGTGGAGAAAATCCTTCTTGTCGCTGCACCTTTGCGTAGGAAACCCTGCTGACTAAGCTAAGAAACCCGGAACTCGCCCATCCGCCGATTCAATATTCAGAGTCAAGAGCGAGTCATTTTGGAAAGGCAGCGTGTGACTGTGACTTTGACTGGGAATGACACTCGGATCTCGGAGTGAGTTGGGCGACGGAGAAGTGCGCGAGTGCTTTTTCGTTTGGAAAAGTTGCTCAACACCACCCAACAGTCTCGACAGGATCCATCTCGACCCAAGGCTTCGGCAATCTATCCTCACCTCGGCTTCTCAGAACAACTCTCCCCCGGCCCGAAACACTCCAGCGAGCAAGCCGACAACATAGCAATCATGGATCGTGAGTCATTCATCGGCACAGCACCATCCGAGCATGCGCCGACCGTCCACTGACCCATGGCAATCTGTTACGCTTTTCGCCCTTTGGCACAGTCTCGGGGCTTTCATCGTCGGAGCAGCAGGCTATGACGCGCATCATTGAGCAGAAGCAGATGAAGGACTTCCTCAAGCTGTACACGGGCCTGGTGGAGCGCTGCTTCGAGTCGTGCTGCAACGACTTCACTTCCAAAACGCTCAGCACAAAAGAGGTGAGTTGGCCTCGACGACCCTGAAGCAAGGACACTGCTCACCGCTGCTTTGCGAATCAAGCTGACTGATTATCATCTCCCCTTCATTGCGACGCACAGGACACATGCGTGGCCAACTGCATTCAGAAGTTCCTCAAGCACTCGGAGCGCATCGGCGCACGATTCGGTGAAGAAAAGTAGGTAGACAGTGCCGATCGTGCCGGGCTGAAGATCCAAGTAGCAAGTGTTGCTGACTTCGCGCCTCTCTATTCTCTTTGATGAACAGTGCCAAGATGATGGCGCAGCAGCAGAACAAGTGATGGACGCAGTCCACGAACCAGCATTGCAATCGCACCTCTCTGGATGACCGATTCAATCTTGCTTGTTCTCGTGATCATCTGCTTGCTGAACACGGTCGCGTGAATGTTGGAAGATCGTGTCGGAAGAAGTCTTTTGGAAAGGGTCTCTCTCGATGGTCAAGGATGAAGCTGGATCGGCTTGGGATCGGACCAGCTGAGACACGCAGATCGATCGGGCATGGGTCTACGACGAGTAGATGATGCGCAGACAAAGCCACCGGATTGAGATTAGTCTTGGCAGCAACTCGGCAAGCCACGGCGGCCTTACCTTGATCGACAGCTATTGCTCGGAGATATCAGTGAATCGGTCGCGCTGCATTTTGTATGTTGAGCTGACTAGGACGTGAGCTCAGACGCCTTGAGCCGAAGCTGTCGACGGTGGAGACCGAGAAAGTGATTCATAGTGCACGACAGGTCCAGAGGCCCGCATCGACAAGGGCGGCTATCGAAAAGAAGGAACAGGTGATGGACAGCTGATCGTCTGAGTTTGGTTGCGATGCCAAAGGCCGGTGTTGGATAGTACCGTATTCGGTCTGGCGGATTGGCAAGCGCGATTGATCTTCTGACGGGCGGATGGCGGGATGTTATTCCGACCGAGAACGGGTTTGTTTTGTGGCTTGTGGTCTCGCATCATTGAAGCGGGTAAGAACAACAACAGATGGAGAGGGTTCTGGGCCGTCTGGCAGACAAAGAGAGACACGGGATCTTATCCGGGACGGCCAGCCAAATTTGACGTTTGTTTTTCAAGTCGCGCTGCCCCCACGCGCCGAATTGTAGGATCAACACTGCAGATCAAATTGGCTCATTCGGGATGGCGAAGACCCTGTGCACCATCGTTTCACAGTCCGCTACCGACCAAGCGGAGGACGAAGCGAAACTCGGCCTCTTGCAAGCCGGAATGCATGCTCAGCCTCGATGGCTAGCACCTTGCTCAGCTACAGTATAGCACCCCATTTCATAAGAACGAAAGTGTTTGGTCGATTCTACAGTGACTTAGCGCCTGTCGCTATGCTAACCGAGCCGAGCCGATGTCGATCCTTTCTGCACATTCAAAAGCGGATTCCGCCAGCATCAATCGCCCTGCATGGAAAATCGCCTTTTTAAAATTTAATCTTTGGTTCGTGGCTCGGAGAGCTTCGAAGGATGCATGGCCGAGCTGCAGCTTGAGCTCGCCTCTTGTTCCTTGACAGGCTGCTGCTCCCGTGCAAACACCTTCCACGCAGCCGCGCAATGTCGATCTGTCTTGGCGCTGATGCTACTGCCACTTTACCGCAGCCGAACGCATGGTCCAGAACTTTCTCTAAGTTACTGTATCACTTCGTTCGCCATACGTTCCCATTGTCAGACAGCCGCTGCTGGCCACACACATGCTCCCCTCCCCTCGCTCAAATCCGCAATACAATGCTGCCTCGCTGCTCACTCCATCAAGCTAGCCGCTCGACCCTACCTCTTGCTTTGTTTCATCCATCTTCATCTGCGCGTCTCTCCATACCCACCTCGCTTACCGCTTCCCACCAGCGCTCTCCTCCTATCGCTCAGGTGCAGTCTTGGCTAACTCGAACCTCGTAGCCATTGACATACACATCCCTTCATCGCTCCAATCCCTTGTCGACCTCTCATAACGAGTTATAACATGCCAACATCGTTCTCTTGAAGGCGGCACTCCCCTTCCTACCGCTCTTCGCCGTCATGCTACGCCTCGCCTGGCTCACGCTCGCCAGCGCGCTGCTGTTGGCAGTGCTGACTCCCTTGGTCGTTGCTCTCCCTTTCATCCCGATATCTGCAAACTACATCGAGGCCTTCCAGGCTCGCTTCGACCCTCGCCCCGTCCAGCCTCAGCGTCGCTACATCACCACCTTCACCGCGCCTACAGGCTTTCGTTACTCGTGGGGCATTGATGGATATCGCGTGTCTTATGGCACCTCTTCCGGTCAGTACATCTCTCGCTCCGCCATTCCAAATGCGATCAAAGTCGACCAGAACGCCGTCAACTCGTGCGGTGCCCTCTGCAGAAGAAGCTCGAGATGCAACTTCTTCCATCCCGTCGAGATGAGCGGCAGCTCAGAAGGCAACGTCATCTGCGCCCTCTTCACCGCAAAGCAGAGCAAGTCAAACGCCATCTACGACGCAGGTCCCGGCACTACCGGTGGCTTTGTCGTGTCCGCCTATGGCTTCAGTCGTAACATCGCTACCGCCGACAGCGTCGCCACGTCTTCCACTGCCAGACCCACCACTTCCACCACAAGTAGGTTTACCACTACCACCTCGAGCAGGCGCACCACTACCACCTCTAGCAGGCGCAGCACCACCACCTCAAGCAGAATCGCCACTACCACCTCCACCAGGAGAACCACTACCACATCATCCACCAGGCCTGCCACCACCACCTCGTCTCGCCTCACTACCGCTACCTCCTCCAGGTCGACTTCGACCACCTCGAGCAGGCTCCCCACCACCACATCCTCCAGAACCACCTCAGCCACATCTAGCAAGCCACTCACGACCACATCGTCCAGGGCAACTACCACTTCCTCTACCAGAGCCGCCACCACGACTTCCATCCGCACCACCACGTCTTCCTCCAGCAGGGCTAGTGCAACCACGTCGAGCAAGCTCACTACAAGCACATCAACCAAGCCAGCCACGACGACCACGTCGTCCACTGGAGCAACTACAACCATCTCCTCGTCTAGTAAGGCAGCTACGACCACTTCCTCGTCCAGCAGAGCCAGTAGTACCACATCCTCGTCTAGCAAGGCCACCACGAGCACCTCTTTGAGCTCTAGCGCGCAAAGCACCAGCAGAAGCACCAGCATTGCCTCCTCTTCCACCTCCTCGAGGACGTTCGCGTCTTCCACCTCCAGTGGGGTAGGCTCCGCAAGCTCCGCTTCGCAGACCTCCTCCGCGCCGACCACATCTGCCAGCGCTCCGGTGCCCCCGACTGCGACCATCGACTCGCTGTCTTCGGGTTCAGCGACCAACACAACAACAATGACAACAACCACTACTGCAGCTCCGACCCCCACCGGGCCTCCGCCTCCTCCTGCCGGCGCCACCTTGGTCCAATTCCAGCCATGCAACGGTATCAACGCCACTGTTCCCATGTTGGTCAACAAAAACTACCCAATCAACGGCTCCACCTCTGCCACCACCGTCTGGATCTCTCAGCACGGTGCCTCTCGCAACTTCGAAGACTACTTCCGATCTGTCCGCAACGTCGTTGGCGATCTCGGCGTCATAATTGCTCCCAATTTCTATGCCTCCTTCGACCGGGGCAGGCAGTACAACAGAACCACCAATTTGGCGTGGAACAGCAACGACTGGGGCGATGGCGCCGACGCTGTCGCCCCTGCCAACATTTCCGCCTGCTCGTCGTTCGACGTCTACGATGCGCTCCTCGCTCAACTCGCCGACAAATCCAAATTCCCCTCCCTCACCCAGATCTTCATCGTCGCCCACTCGGCAGGCTCCGCCATGATGACCAAATACGGTGTCCTCAATCCTTCCACCGGTGCCAGGTTCGTGCTCGCCAATGCGCCCACGATGCCTTACTTCACACTCGTACGACCCAACTCGACCGAGAACTGCACCTCCTACGACAACTGGGCTTACGGCTTCAGCAGTCCCGTGCCACGTTACGTTGCTGCTCGTGCTCCGGATCGTGAGTCTGCCTTCCGCAGCTGGATCGGCCAGGACCTAACTTTCATGACCGGGGACCTCGACACCTACTCTCGTGACTTCAGTGGCGACCAGGGCTGCCAGGCGCGGGCGCAGGGAGGCTTGAATCGTCGCGACCGTGGCTACGCTTGGTGGGCCTACCTCAACCTCATCGGCGGCACCTCGACCAACGTCACCGCCTTCTACGGCTACGACTCGTTCACCAATCAGAGCGTCACTAGCCTCAACCCGCCCAAGTTTGGCGCCAGGCAGTGCACCGTCGACGGCGTCGCTCACGATAATTATGGCATGTTCGCCAGCGACTGCGGTCGGGCCGCTCTCATGGGCAATGCCACCCTTCCTCCCGATCCGGGTCCGTTGAGGCCTTACGAGGATGAAGAAGAAGAACAGTACCACGAATGAGGACGCAGTCCTCGGAGCGGGTCTCGTCCTCTTTCTCATCGCTTTCATTGGGTTCCTTGTCACCGTCCTTGTGCACGCTGCTTCTGCGTGCTTGTATTTTCATAGATTGGCCTCGCCGGACCGCTTGCGTGGCCCGGTTCGATGGTCGCATGCAATACCTGTTTCATATCGCATACTTTTGTCCCGCTCGTGTGGGTCGTTGTGAAGCCTGAGTCTGAAGACACTCAAGCGTACACTGTTCCCTCGACTTCTTGCAACAACAAATGTGGAGTCATCAACAAGTATCGTCGCATATTCACGGGTCGTCGCATATTCACGGGTCGGTCCGCCTCCAGGATAGCCTCCAGCTGCGGCGTGCGCGCGCTTGTCTGATCGCTGGCAGAAGCTGCTGTTGTCTATGCGTGTCTGAACGGATGCCAGGTCGTCTCTCTGGTCGCCTCACACCCACTAACGTCGCTGTCTCGTTTACCGCGTTCGTGAATCGTCGACGAAGTGACGTCCCGGAGACCTGACAAGCCCCTGTGGCTCCATTCCCGCCCCTTCAGCACGTTTCTTGCCTACTTCTCCTCGCTTCAAAATGTGCCACCCGCTGAGCTGCAGCATGAACGAGTCCGACAATAGAGCATGGGCCTCACTATTCGATTATGAAATCATGCTGCTGCTGGGTCAAGACTAGCGACCCTGTCCACGACCATCTGGTGGCACCACATGCCAAGCGGCCATGCGCATTACAGATGGCGATGCTCACTAACAAGCTCAGTATCCCCACTCATCAGTGATGGCCGAGTCGACATGTACGCATGGTGACGATGATGTCAGCCTGTGATCGCAGGAGGATGGTCGAGTTGCGAACGCCTAACCACTGACTTAAATTAGCGCAGCTGGTGACGCTCAATTTTTGTGACCTCCTTTCTTCATGACCTGTGGCCAAGTTCTTCCACAAAACATATTTTTGATACGTAATTTTGCGTCGAAGTTTCGACTTCGCAGATGTCTGCAGCGAGCAGCTTGGCGACAACTCGGGCATCTTTTTACCTGGATCAATTTAAAAATGGATGCTCTGCGTTGATTATGCAGGCAAATCCCTTTAATTTCTCGCGTTTTGTGTCACAATGATCAAAGGTCTTTGCGTCGATTAACATTTTGATGCCTTCAAAGTCCTTTTTTTGGACTCTTGCGATTTTTTCGACAGGCTTAACGCCAATTTGTGTCGCAACACCATCGTTCTGACCGGAACACTGTTGCAAAAATAATGTCTACGTCGATAAAAGAAGCAGGTGAATCGTAATTTTCCGCCGGAGTTGTCATTTTCCTGTCAGATGTGCTCACTGAACAGGCAGAAAGCAACGACGTTTGTATTTTGTAGAGAAGTTGCGCGGTCGACAACGACGGCCAGCTGCGAATTAGACACATACGAGATTGACCGCTTTGCTTGATGGTCTGCCGAACGCAATACGGCCAGTCACACGTGATATCGTTACGGAACAGGAGGGGTGTGGTCTTTGCTCGTCTTGATCATGGCGAGGTTCGAGGCTCATGCCGATTCGCTCCGGACAGACCAACTCTAGCGGCAGACGACGGATAGGAGCCTTTCGCACACCGAGGGAGCACGGAAGGACAGCCTCCGAGATGACGACAATCAGGACGACGGATCTCGAAGAGATAGGAAGCAGGACTTGATTGGCGTCGAGGCAGAAAGGTCTGTGTTGCAACTAAAAGGGGACGAATCTTGGCCGAGTGTGGCGAATCTTAGGCTGATGTCTTGAGTGAGGCTGATGTGATGAATGAGGCTAGATGGCGAGCAGATGAGGAGACGAGATACAGCGGCGTGGAGTCCGCTCTGACGAGGCATCTGTCCAGCTTTCTCATGGCACGAAAGCGAGCGCACGCACGATCGCGAACCAGCTCGTCGACTCGCTCTCTTGGTATAGCCTAGCTGCACGGAATGAACAAGACGTTCGATGGAAGTGAGTTTAGGATGTGGTACTGGCTTTGCTCTTCGTGGCGACCAATGAGTCTTCGGTGTGGACTTGGGCGGCCTGTTGGGCAGATCTGCGAAGGCAACACTCCGGCACGCGCGGACGGTAAGGGGGCCCAAATGGTCAATCGAAGGCCGACACACGCGAATTTGGTCCTAGGCAGAGAGTACGCAGACAAAAGCACGAGGGGCGGCGCGGCTACGCATGTCGACGTGCAATGAGCTCGCTATATTGGCCTCTTCGTTGAGGTCATATTGGCTCGTGGAGCCAAGGCGAGCGGCTTGGCGGAACTGGACGGCTCGTCGGAAGAAGATTGATACTGGTATGGCAGACAAACTGACGTTCAGAGAATGGTTCAACTTGCTTACAGCGGCGCGCCGCGACCGAGTCACATACGAGGTCAACACACTCGGCGTGATGCCGAGCTGACAATATGTCGCGTTGCTGCAAGCCGGCGTTTTCGCCGATCTTGTTCTCAGCAGAGCTGCACCCTTTTGGTGGCGAGAAGCTACAGCGGAAAAGTGCTTGTTCCTCTTGACAGGTCTTGACAGGGCTCGGAAAATGAAAGCGGAATTCCGCGGTCAGGGCGGTTGCTGGACGTGGACCAGTCTGGCTCGGCTTGGTCTTAAGCAATCGGAGCTTGGGCAGCACGCCCTCGGCGCTGGCTATGGTGTTCCGGAAGAGCTTAGAGCCGAGCAGCCTGCCGTTACTTCTGGCCAGCCAATGTCGAGCGTCAAACGGCAAGAAGGATGAAATGGGACGTTCAATGTCAGAGTGGTTCGAGCGAGTCAGACCGCCGGATGATAGCTGTTGCCGAGGATTGGCGACCAAAAACGAGTGGTTGCCAGCAAAACTGTGGCTCGGACGCGTGGACATGCAAATTGCGCACAGAACAATGGAGCTCTACCCCAGCATTCGGAGAGCTTGCAGCGCAGAACAGATGCTGCGTGTGAATAGAAGTACAGCTGCAGTCGATTCGGAAGACTCCAGAGAACGATACAGCTGACGGAGCGCACCATGGCGGTGGCCAGGGACAGATGGAAGAAGGGTGCAGCGGGCCCTCGCTCACTGCTCCGCCGAGGAGCCGGTCAACTTTTGGGAGTGAGACAGAGTCCTAAATTCTGAGATGACGACCTGGTCGCTTTGCCAGCAGACTTTTCAAACAGCGACGCGGACGTGCGCCTGCAAAATGCGTTGCTCTCACGGTAGAATGGAGGCAGCCGCCTTTCTTGCTATCGACTGAAACGCAGAGCATCGTTGAGATCTAATGACAAAGAATAGCAAGCAGATGAACGACAGCAAGTTGCTGACCATGTTTTAAGCGAAAGCATGTTGCAGGGGGGAGCTTCAAGGACAAGGCGGGTCGGATTCGATGTCTGAGCTCTTCATTGCTTCCACCGGAAGCCATCTCGACAGAAGCGCTTCGAGGATGGCTGACGGCTCTGTCGTGTGTATATGGCTGCCGTATTGGACGTGGGCTATCTTTGCAGATCACCTGCCAGGTTTGTTTTACTAGGCAGGCAGCCAGCCAGTCAATCAAAGATGCGAAACACGGGCCAATCCAAAGCAAATGCGTCTCGTCCCGGCGGAAAAAACTTTTTTCGAGTGTGAAATTTCGTTGAATTCCAAAACTTGTCGCGGCAGCAGGAAACTCGGTTGATCGGGCCCGCGTTGATGATATTTGTGGCTGCATGAACAGAGATTGCCGGAGTTCCATGGTTTTTGGTCACCTCTTTGGCTTGCATCCGGCACGGCACGTTCAGACATGAACGGAATAACGGGTGGATGGATGTACAGACCGACAGAAGGCAGAGACACAATGTGTGATCGTACCTGGCTATGAATATCTGCTTAGGCTGGCGGGCAATAGCGCACGGTCAACGATCTTAAGAGAGAAAGGTGAGGCAAGCGGGTTTCAATCACAGCTGCGCCTCTGACGACACGATGGAAAGCAATTTGCTAACCTTTTGTCCACCCATCCAGCCCGGCGCCGAGACCCCCTTTTCTTGCCCTGCTAGGACCCCGTGGGATCGACTCCACATTACGACCCCTTTGTTCGGTTGATCATCGCGCCGATGCTCGTGGCGAGCGTGCCAAGCTAACGTCTCGCTTGTGCACGACTCTTCATCCGGTTGGGTTGAGCTTGGCGATCATCAGGGGCTAAACAGTCAGGAGCCATCAGCACATAACGGGGCCCTAGCCAATGGAACCAAAGCATCCCATCTATGCCGAGGGTCAAGCGACGTGAGGAAGAGCTGAAGGAGCACATGAAAATAGATTTCCTGACCACGGTTTCGGCCCGCGCCTTTCATCTGCACCGCTTTTGGTTGCGGTGGATTGCCACTCAACTCTCTTTGCTTTCTCAATTTTATTCATTTAATCTTTTGCTCTTCGAGTCCTTGGCTGCCATGCGGAGATGAGCCCTACAATCGATGTAAGCAGAACTGAGCTGCCTTTTTTGCACAGCTTCTGCTGATGGCGTCTGAGCAGCACGGCCACTTAATTTCGCCTTGAGCGCTCTCTCTGCCTCGCTTTGCAAGTGCGTTTGCTTGTTGCAGCGGATTCTAACTCGCCGTCCCCGTGCCTGGTTGGCTCTTCTTTTCTTGCTCCCCGGACTTTGAGCGACCGGAGCTCTTGTGGTGCTGCAGCTAGAGCCGAACCCAACCCACTTTGCAGCCATTGTTCCTCGCTTTGACGCTCGCTGTCTTGCATCACACCACACCTTTCTCATCCGCAACTTCACCCACCAACCTTGCTCAGTCAGATCCATCTGTCATCGATCGGCTCTGTTCCCTTAATACTATCACACTTCAACCTCGGTCGCACCTCTTTGTCCATCTCGCCCTCCTCCATCGTCTCGCCCGTATCCGTTAAGGACACTTTAGTATCGTCATTGTCGCCGGCTTCGTCGTCACCGTCAGCCTTGCTTTTGTCCCCAAGCCGGAACCCGAAAACTTCTTCCTCCGCTGCTCTTCTTCTAGCCTTGCGTGTTGTTTCCGCACAGGCCCCCTCTCGGCTCGTCCTCTCCGCATAGGATTCGCACCTCCTTCCTTCATGGCAGCGACACGATCGTGCTTCCACCATCCTGCGCTTCATTTTAAGTCATCCAACATCACCTCCTAGACTTGGATCATCTGTCCACATTTCCAAGATGCCATCATCTCTCACATCGGCGCTCGTCGCCCTCTTTGCCTCGGCGCTCGCGATAGCACCCACCACTCTGGCGCAAGCCACCCTCAACCCAGCGGCCAGCGTCGCAAATGCTGGCTCCGTCGTCTCCAACACCATCAACCCCTCCTTTGCTGGCTTCGGCATCGAGCCAACAGATCTCTACGTCTTCACCGGCACAACTTCCCCTAATCAGCTCACCTTCAACCTTCTCTCCAACCTCGCCAACTACACGGGCGCTCCACCCCACATTCGAATCGGTGGAAATGCTGGCGACACCATGCTCTTCGATAGCTCTGTCACCAGCTACACCTTCCAGCAAAACCCTAATCCTGTCGGTCAGGGCAACGCAAGGCCTTCCGACTACTATCTCTTCGGTCCCAACTACTTCAGAGTCATGGATTACTTCCCCGCAGGCACTCCCGTCACCTATGGCCTCAACCTCGCTTACCAAGGTTCCGACGCTCTCGAACGCATCGTCGAGCAGGCCGCCGCCGCCTTCGACTACATTGGCACCGATGACAACAACGGCGCCAAGCTCTACAGTCTCGAGATTGGAAACGAGCCAGATCTGTACATCGATCTCGGTTACCGTTCCCAGAGTTGGAGCCCCACCGACTTTGGTAACGAGTGGGCCTCCCGTGCTGAGGCCGTCTACAACCAGACCTTGAAGTCGCGCGGTATAGCCTCCAACTTCTTCGAGGTAGCTGCCACTGCCACCACTGCCTCCAAGAATGGCCAGCCTTTCCGTATCGCCAACCTCGTCGGCAACACGCAAGGTGTCGCCGCCGACAATGGTATCTATGTCGCCGGCTGGAATCAGCACGACTACTTCTACTACATCGGCGTCTCCCCCTTCAACCTCACCCTTTCCTACCTTCTCGATCTCTCTCAGACCGTCAGCCAATTCCGTGAATGGGCCGGCCAGGTTGGTCAAGCCCAGGTTACGGGCAAGCCCTACTACCTTCGAGAGATGGGAAGCGTCGGTCCCAACGGCCTTCCCGGCATCAGCGAGACCTTTGGAAACGCCCTCTGGACCTTCAACTTCTTTTTCTATGCTGCCAGCATCCAGGTCGACAGTGTCCAGATGCACATCACCCAATACTCGCAGGCTGCACCCTGGCAAAACACCTACATGAACGGCATGGGTCCCCACGTCCGACCCACCTACTACGCTTGGGCCGCGTGGGCCCAGATCGTCGGCCCTACCTGCAACACCCGGATTGCTCCTATCTCCATTGGCAATCAGCCTAGCTCGTACAACAACCGTCTCGGTGCCTACGCCGTCTACCGCGGCACCACCCTCACCTCGGTCGTCATGATCAACACCCAGCTTTACTACTCGTACACGGGCAACCCGAGCTACCAGAACTTTGCGCTCAGCTTGCCATCTCTTGCTGGCCAGACCGTCTACGTCTCCACGATGTACGCTGATGGAGTCGACTCGACCTCCAATGTGCAGTGGAACGGCATCAGCTACGAGCCAAGCAACGCTGGTGGACAGCCCACCGGTCAGCCTCGCACCGTCAACAGCACTCAGGCCACCATGACGGTCGGATCGGACGGCTCCCTCACTGTTCCCGTTCGCGACAGTCAGGTCGTGGTCATTAGCACCGTCCAACTCGGCAGAGAATCTGTCAACACGCAGAACTGCCAAAATCTGGCAAGCACTGGAACGAGCGGTGGCGGCGGCGGCACCTCCACCGGTTCGGGCGGCGGAAGTGCGGCTCCTACTTTCAAGTCCACCACTGGTTTCAAGTCGGACATGCCCCTCAGCATGACCGCCATCATTGCGATTGCTGCCGGTGGCGGTGCCTTCCTGCTGATTCTGCTCGGCCTCTTCATCTGGTGCTGCGTGCGTTCGTGCAGGAAGAGCAAGGCTCGCAAGGCACGTAATGCCGCTCTCATGAAGCCGCCCGCTCGCCACGACGACCACCCCTTGCTCGATAGCAATCACCCGGATGACAGCAATGTCTCGTATCCTGCCTACCAGCGTTCGCCAGCGGCCCGACATGGTTGGGACAGCCCCATGACCAGCAACAGTCACAACCATCAAGTGCATCCCTCGCAGTCCTATGCGCAGATGACACCAGCGTTCGACTATCAACCCGTTTCGTATCAATACAACTACCAGTCGCAGTCTTATGGCCATGCTCCTCCCACGCATTCGGTCCCTCCCCAGCCGATGCATCATCAATACCTCCAGAATCCGTACGCACATCCACCACCGGGTAGCGCCTATGGTCGCGCCCAATGAGCGAAGACCACGGAACCCGGACGCATTCTTCCTCACACGGACACTTTTTCTCCTTGCACCGCCTATCCACGGTCTGGTCGCTCATGGAATTCCCCAAGAACATTCAGTCGGTCTTCTTTGGAACTCTAGTCAAACCGCATCTACATACCCCAAGGTGCGCGTCAGGCGGACCTTCTCACGGTCGTTACAACACAGAGACATCATCTTCGCACGTCCTAGATTCGCCGCATACGCGCTCCATTGTTACACACTTTCTTCCCCGTCGTGTATCTTGCACTTTTTGTTTTGTCTTCATCGTTTCCTCGTCGCTTTTTCTTCTGTAGAGTATGTCGTCACGAGCACTATCAGCTCATCTCTTGTCAATGTCATCGCATCACAAATAGCTTTCGCCTGTCACGGCATGCACTTTTCGAGCTCGTGGACGTGTCTGCGCCTGTCCTCCACACTTCTTCTGACAGCTGTTCACGCTTCATGCCGCCTCACGCTTCATCGCCAAACACATCATCATGAACGATCAGTCACAAGCAGGTACCCCATCATCGCAACGGCATCGGGCGCCCAAAATTCACAACGAGCACACGCGTCTAGAAAGGAGTGGTTAGGACGTGATTCGTTCGTGAACCAGGCAGGTATATTCCCATCGTCTAATGAAACGTGACTTCTATAACAGTTCGTGATGAAAGCCGAGTCGCTTACCATGCGATCTTGGCGATGACGCTGTTGGGGAAGGTCCTCACCAACAGCTTGCGGATCTCGTCCATGGCCAGAATGCCAATCGCGAGGGGGATGGGGATGAGCCAGAACTCGATGGGGATCGATGCAGTGCCAAAGAGGTTCTGGATGCCCTTGACCTCGGTGACAAAGATGGCGATGACGAGCGCAGCGAGCGGGCCGAGGATGAGGTACGGGTTGCGACGCTCTTTGCGGATCGGGTCGGCCTGGAAGATGGACAGGCGCTTGTTGCGCACCGAGAGCAGGTTGCCCCACTGGAGAATGACGAGCGTGACAAAGTAGACACACTGACCGACGGCGAGGAAGTGGTTCAGCTCGTCCAGCGTGTAGCCGTGGAAGCCGTCGCCGAACTTTTCGTAGGCGAAGAACATGTCCTTGACCGGAATCTTGGCGTACTTGTAAATGTAGAAGAAGAACATGGCGTGGGCAGAGAGCGTCTCCATCATGCCGATGAACAGGTAGCTCTGACCGTAGATGGCCTTGTTGACCAAGTGGTCCGTCTTGGGGTTCCTCGGCTCGAGCGAGAGCAGGTCGAACTCCTCCTTCTCGAAGATGAGCGTGAGACAGCAGACCAGATCGGTGAAGCAGCAGATGATGATCATCAGGAACGAGCTCAGCGGCAGAGGCACACCGAAGAAGACGTTGAGGATGACGGGCCAGTCCTCGGACCAACTGCCGGCCGGGAGGAGGTACGAGATGACCTTTTGCAGGTTCTGGAAGACCAGTCGACCGAGCTTAATGGCCTGAATGATGGAGCTGAAGTCACCCATCAGCACCAGATCGGCAGCCTCCATGGCCACGTCGGAACCGGAGACCATGGCGATACCAACGTCGGCAGCCTTGAGCGCGGGTGCATCGTTGACACCGTCACCAGTGACGGCGACGACGCAGCCGCGGTCTCGGAGCTCGTTGACGATCTTGAGCTTCTGCTCGGGCGTGGTGCGGGCAAAGACAATCTCTTCGTAGCGGCAGATGACGTCCCATTCCTGCTGAGTGGTCTGGGGAATCTCCTTGCCCTCGACGAGCAAGCTGGCCTCGATGAGGTCCTTGGGGCCGTTGAGCTTCTTGAGCTGCTTCTCGCTGAGAACAGGACCTTCGCTGGCGTAACGACCCTTAGCATTAAAGTCGGCAATACGGTCGGGCTCGCCGTTGTAAGTGAAGATGCCCACCATCTTGCCGATGGCAGCAGCAGTCAAGGAGAAGTCACCGGTGACCATGAAGAAGCGCGATCCAGACCTTCGGCACTCCGAGACGGTGTGAGGGATGTCCGAGCGAGGGGGGTCCATGATGCCGAGCAGGCCGATAACGACGAGGTTGCCCTCGCTAGCAGCAGCGACCTCGTCCTCGTAGTCACTGGTGCCGTTCTTGAAAGCAGCGGTGAACTGGCGCTTGGCGAGGAGGATGACACGCTCACCGCGGCGAGCCCACGCCTCCTGCACGCTGACAAGCTGAGAGCGAGCGGTCTCGTCAAAGTCCTTGATCTCGCCGTCGGCAGCCGAGTAGAAGTGCGAGATGCGGGGCATGAGCACATCGGGGGCACCCTTGACAAACATCTCGTCGGCTTTGGTGGAAGCCTTCTCGTCGTTGGATCGCATGACGGTGAGCATGAACTTGTTCTTCGAGTTGAAGGGGATGTCGTAGACACGTCGGTAGGCCGTCTTGATCTCGTCGGAGCCGGGAAGCGATGCCGAGAGACGGAGGACAGCGGCGTCGGTGGCGTTGCCCTGGACCGCACGTTCGGAAGGCACGAGCGACTCGCTGGAAGGGTCGAAGAATGCATCGTTGCAAAGAGCCATGCCCTTCTTGAGCTCGTCAAAAGCGAGGAAATTGTCGAGGCTAGAGATGTCGTTCCTGGTGCATTCCTTGTCGACAAAGCCGATCGAGGCGACCGACATCTTGTTCTCGGTCAGCGTGCCGGTCTTGTCCGAGCAGATGACGTTGACGCAACCCAGCGTCTCGACGGTGGAAAGCGACTTGGGCAGGACCTTGACATCGCGCATGCGACGTGCGATCAGCGAGAGCGTGAGAGCGACAGCGATGGGCATGCCTTCCGGGATGAAAGCGACGACGAGACTCATCAAGTTGGTCAAGATGCCGACGGTGTTGAGGAAGCCTTTGTGGTCCTTTCGGAGATATGCGAGCCAGAAGATGAGCATGATCGTGACGAGCGTAACGGTCAAGCAGATGATGATTTTGACAAATCGCGAGATCTCCTTCTGAAGCTGCGTGGACCTCTCTTTGTCGTCGTTGGTGAGCTTGTTGATGCGACCCATGACGGTGCGCGCACCCGTGAGCACGACGACACCGGTGGCGTTACCATTGCAAACGTGCGTTCCGAGGAAGGCGATGTTCTTGGTCTCGAGGAAGTTCTGCTCGGTGGCCTCGACGGTTCCTGGGATCTCCTCGGACTCGCCGGTGAGCACGGATCGGTCCAGCTTGAGATCGGCGGAGGCCTTAATGATTCGCATGTCAGCAGGCACCTTGTTACCGGTCGAAAGGATGCAAACATCACCGACGACGAGGTCGGAGGCAGGGATGGACTTGTGTTCACCGTCACGGATGACGATGGCATTCTCGGGGAGGAGGTTGAGAATCGAGTTCATCACCTTTTGTGTAGACCAGTCCTGGAAGGCGTTGAAGATGGCCTGGAAGAAGATGACGATCAAGACGACGATGGCGAGCGCAAGGTTGTATGCCTGAGGAGGGTTGCCGAGAGGTCGCCACGAGATGAAGAAGATGATGACACCGATCCAAAGGATGGAGCAGAAGCCGCCAAAAGTGTAGTTGAAGAGCTTCTTCCAGTATTTGTTCTTCTTTTGTGTGAGGACATTCTTGCCATTGCGCTCAAGACGACGTGCGGCGGCGGGGGAATCGAGACCAGCGTCGGGGCTCACGTTGAACCTCTGTGCAAGCGCATCGGGGCTGACAGTGTGAAAGTCGAGCGAGCCGAAGAATTCGGTATCAGAGAGGTGCTCCTTGCTCTTGACGCCATCTGCGGCTTGCGACTCGTACACCTGGATACTGAGTGTGCGGAAGCCGATAGGGATGTGAGAGCGGGCGGTCTGCGTGCGAGGGACCTTGATGCTGACGCGGGGCGCGATGGGCGCAGGCGCAGAAGCCTCGACATGGCTCTGGTCGGAGGGAGTCTGACGGGTGTGCTCCTTCTCGACATCGAAGTCGGAGAGAGACCTGGAGTCGGACATGATGAGAAGTCGGCTGATATCGATCGCGAAGAATACGATGTCAAGCCAAAGCCGATGGACGGATGGAAAGAACAGGTGGGAGGAGGATTGAGGTCGAAACGGAGATGAGGCAGTTGCCAGAGCGATGCCGTTGGGTCTTTATAGTCTCACCACCCTCACAGGGAGAGATATGGCTCAGCTCATGAGGGTACGAGGGTTCAGGGGCGAAATAAAGCGCTTCCATACGGCGACGTCTGCAGAGGCCGCGGTGTGCAGCTCATCAAAGCACCGAGACACCGAGCACAGTCGAATGCAAGTCAAGAAAGCGTTGTGCTGAGCTAGAGGCAGCCAAGGCGAGCAGATCAAACGGTCGAGGGTTGAGGGGATTTTGCTGACGGCCGCCACGTTGGTGAGTGGCGAGGTTTGACGACCCGAGAGCCAAAATAAAACAATGACAGTATGTGACGAGACGCAAATTGGCATGACGCGGTGTAGAAAGCGCGCACTGGTTCTGCAGCTAGCAGGCAAGGCAAGCGCGAGGGTGCGAGGGCAATCGATTGGGCAGCGTGGGGGCATACAAAGCGTTGCTGTGTGAAAAGATCTACGAATAAGGTCTCAGGAACGTCTCGCTGGACGGCGGTATAGGCGCTTTTGTCACCGAAGCCAGGCGGGGAGCAGAGGAGCAAATGAGCAATCAACGAGGGCGGCGGGTGAGGCGCAGCTGTCAGGGTTAAACGTGTGTCTAGACGAGCTGGCCCGACGCGGGTGAAAGGGGATGAAAGCATCGCCACAGTCAACCGGCGACACCGGCGGAGCATGCGCGAAAGGCCAGCAGGAAAGAATGGAGGGCGCAGGTGCCTGCGGAACGCAAGAATGACAGGGGGCCAAGGGTTGGGTGCAGGGCGAGGGGGACACTGCGAGAGGGAGGAGGGGGCCCAGGGTGGGACATGCCCACGCTGTGGGTGAGGGCCGAGGGTGAGCTTGTTCTGTGACGAGGCGCCGATGTAGATCAAGCGACGCCGACTTTGACAGCTGACAGAGACGCTGAAGCAGAGGCGGCGGCATTCACAGCAAGATTCTGCGCGAGGGCAAAGGGATTCGACAAGAATCTCGTCGTTCGGCGGACAGGCAAGCGACCCAATAATAGACGCCGCGTGCCGAGATTCAAGGCAGGCCATCGCGGTGTGTTGACGCAAGGGAGTGGGACCAGGGTTATGAGGTTGGTTGGCCGTTGTTCGAACGAGGAACGGTCCACACCCTCGGCCCTCCTACAGAAAATCAAGCAAAGGCCTCGCCGGCTTCGAGGGTTGAGGGTTGGCCGATCGGTAGATAACACAAAGACCGAATGCGCCAGATCGGCAGATTCGAAGCGCAATATTATTGAATTGTTAGAGCGGAATCGAACGTTGGAACAGATCTGTGCTTGCCAAGGAACGCGACGAGGTAGCACTCACCGTCTCTGCGGGTCGCTGACGGTTTGGTGACATGTGATGGCGGCAGTGCTGTCTTGCCGCGGAGCGTGTTCCTCGCTAGCGCTGTACTGCTGCGAGTATTGTGCTACGAGCTCGCTCCGACCTGCATGGGGCCCATCTGAAGCACGTGCCTGCCTACGGTATCAAAGGCGGTGAGGTTCGAGGGTCACACCCACGCCGAGTTGCTTCGGGAATGAGGCCAATGCGAACCGACCTCAAAGTAAGCCCCTGAGAAGGATCACATGCACGGGCCTTACAGTATCTGAGTCGATCCGCGTTGCTGGGCGCGCTGAGCTCCTATCATGGTCTTGGCGCTGCGTTGCTTGGCAGGTTTCAAGCCCAGAACCTCCTCACCCAGAACGTCGTGCGACAGAAGGCCACGTTTTCGAGCGGCGATCATTGGTGTGGTCTTAGAGACGCGTTCTGGCCTGATCCTTGCTCAAACACTTGGACACACGGCCACGCAGCATCGTTCTTCGCGGATCTGTAACTGTAGACGTAGAGGGCGGCGAGGCTGTGCCAATCACAGGCGCGCCACACTCGAGACTCTTGCGCAGAATTCGTCTTGGTCTTTGAGGATCCGAGGGATCCTCACTGGTCAAAAGCGCCAAAAGCAAGCCTTGAACCAGTCTGGACTTGCTTGTGACTGCATCGTCGACATGTGCGGTCCTTTTGATACAAATTCGCGCGAGAAGCGTTCGGGAGAGGCGAGTTAAGGAGATGTAAATCGCACTGAGAGAGCAATTGCGATCGGGGAGCGGATGGTCCAGCCTCGGGCGCAGCATGCAGCCACCTGCACCTAAATTTGCAGACCGGCGGCATGATTCGAAGGCCGCATTCCTTGTTTTGGCAAGCGCTTTTCGTCGCGTTGTGCGGCCCAAAGGACCTTGACGCAAGTCAGGGAGCTTGAGTGAGTGACAAGTATCTCTGCACACGAGAGGATTCACATGAGCTCGAGATGCCTGCTTCGGTCTGACGATGACGGTGCCTTGTGCCGGACGCGTGGTCAGTGGCAGGCGAGCACGCGCACGCGGTCGAGAGCCATCCGGATCGCACTCGCCATCGTGCTTCGAAGCGAGACGAGGAGCGCCTTCCAGATACGGGCTCTCCTGCCAGTGACGCACGCGCTGCACGACGTCAATGAATCGTACATCACCCCCAGGACTCCACCTCGCTCCGAGGGCGCGTGGATTTGAAATTCGCGTTTGGGAAGGCGGGCGCGCGTGATTGCCCAGCTGCTCGCAGCCTTGACTGGTACAGAGGTGGATCAGGGTCTGAAGCGTGCATCAGTATTGACGCTAAACGTTTGAGTGTGACCCTGAGGGATCAGAACGCTCGTCATAGCATCTCTCTTGATACGAACCCGCATTGCTCGCTCTTGATCGCAAGTTGCTTGGCTTAGGCTAGCGCGGAGCGTTCCTTTCTGCCATTCGGCACGCGGCGGTATCGCCTGTTCCTGTTGAAAGGCGCCCCGCATCATCCATGGATTGGGCGAGTGTGATTGGTCGCGCACATGCATAGTCAGCCCGCCAACTCGCTTGCAAGGCTCCAACCGTCGGCTCGCTACGTTGTACCTTCGGCGGGACCAGAAGGTCAGACGGGAGATGGACTGCTCACTGCCACAATTCGGCGCTTTGCTCATCGATGATGCGTTCCAAGATGTTTGAGAGTCCTTTCTCATGTCGACTGTGCCCATTCACAGCTCAGCAGAGAGCCGAGCGGGAGGAGCGTGCATCACTCTGAACCGAGTCGCAGCAGTTTGAGCTCCGTTCGGAGTAAGGTCTGCAGAATTCTGCACCCCAAAGCAACGAATGCTGTGCAGATCCAGGTCGTGCTGTTAGCTGCTGTGACACAGAAACGTGCTTCGACGGGTGATCCACCCTCGAATGACACACTCGCACTTATCAATCACACAATGCCCGTGTTCTTTCTCGCTTGCGCTGCCAAGAATCTCAGTAGGTGGAAAGATAGCGAGGATCACATCGGGCCTCGCGCTAAGAGGTGCTCTGTCGGTGTGAGGAAATATTAAAAAAATTCCGAGATTTAAAGAAATTAAAAACAGACAGGCGGGGTACGGGGTCCAGTCTGCACGCGAACCGCTAGCCAGGCTGGATTTATGCGCACGAGGCTGCTCGTCTCGCTGTCAATCTGTCGCTCAAGACGATCTGTTTTTCTTTTTCTCTTTCTTATGCTGTCGGTCGGCGCTGCATGTGCTCAGATGGCAATGACAATGTGCGCCGTTTCATGCCTAAGCTCCCATGCAGCAGCACCTTGACCTTGGTCCGCTATTGGCGGAGCTTCATAGCCACGTCTTGCCTACGGTCTGTCACAGTGCGATCTCAGAGCAGCAAATGCAGCGGGTGCGGTTGGTCATCACGTTTTGTCTCGCTTCGAAGCTTTTTGGCTTGGCCTCGGCTCTTGTCCCCGTCGTCTGTGACGTGCTTGTGTTGCTCGCATTATTATGTTGTTGATGTTGTTGTTGTCCTCGTAGACCATTTCGATAGCTGCAGACGCACTAGACCCACCAAGGTCGCCGCTCGCCTCATCTAGATTCGGAAATCTTCCGCCGCAGCGAGAGACCATTCTAAGCAACTCAAGCTCGAGATGATGCGTCAAAGGTCACTTAAGCTCTTGCCCACCGTGGGATGCACTTGGCGTCGACTCCGCCCAAGTCACACTTTCTCACAGCCACATCCTCCAGCTTTGACGAATCTTGCTTTCGATTATCACATCTCCGACCCAAACCTTGTCACCCTCATCCAGATCCCTCTCGTCGGAACTGATCCAGGTGCTCTTTGCCTTCTGTCGCTCCTGATTCATGCTGTGCAGAGATTGAGCTTTGCTTCGTCACCTCCACCGATCCCTTTCGGCCCTTCCGATCCTCGTCGTCCTCATTGGCTATCCTTGCCAACACGCTATCTCTGCTTCTCATCGGCTTCGCTCCGAACCGACCCATTCTGTATTCGGCTGCCACTTCCGCTTTCGATCTTCTCTCCCCACTCCAACATCGTCACCTTTTCGTCTGCTCTCTACAGTCACACACCTTATCTGGCTGTGTCGTCCTCAGCATTCCATCAGCTCAGCTCAGCCTCGTTGCATCTGAAGCAGTTGCGCCTCCTTCGGTCTCCACCTCCTCCCGCCTTCAACCTCATAAAGGCACTACTCCTTCTCGTCATTCGAGGCGCCGCTTTCGCCCTCATCGCTTCTCGGTCTCTCGATCACCTCCTCCTCGACCACACCCTGGCTCGTCTTCCACCACGACACCTCTAGCATCATGTCGAGGCTACCTCTTCTCGTCGTGGCATGCATCTTGCTGCTCGTCTCTACGCTTGTCCACGCTCAGACAACCGATCAAGCCGGCCTTTTTGCCGACACCTCTTGCAACTCGAACCTATGCCTTCGCGTTGTGTACAGCCCCTCAGAGAGGAGGATGAACATGACCATGACCGCAAGCGGTGGCGGTGCTCCCATGGGCTGGTATGCTGTCGGCACTGGACGTCAGATGGACGGCTCCAACATGATGGTAAGTCATCAGCCTCCCTCCCCCTGTCCCTCCTGGGCAGACCGCGTCTATCTGCAAGCGGTGCTACCAGCTGGCATTCTACCCAGCCTGCTCATACTGACAACATTTCCTGTGTCGATGCTCCTGCTCTTGCAGATCGGCTGGGTGAACACAGACGGCAACGTGGTCATGTCGCAACGAACCGCGACGGGTCACTCCGACCCCACTACCAGCATCAACGCTTTGACCGCCACCATGGAGCCAAGACACTCTTTCTCCAACAGCTCCGGCACCGTCTGGGCCTGGTCGTTCCCCATGTCCGGCTCTGAGTCCACACCCTCCTCCTCGACACCGTTCATCTGGGCTGCCAACAAGAACAACAACCCTGCTTCCGGCACCACTTCGACCATCAGGCGTCACACAGCGTATGGCTCTATCACTCTGGACCTCACAAAACCCTACTCGACGGATGGCAGCGGTAGCAATGGCGGTAGCAGCGGCGGCAATGGCACTCCCTTGACGCCGACAACGGGCGCCAGTCAGTCGAACCGCATCCTGAACAGGAACAACAAGCTCATCATCGCCCACATGGTCTTCATGATCATCGCATGGTTCCTTCTCGTCCCTGCCGCCATCCTTGTCGGTCGGTACGGAAGAACTTTCTTCAAGTGGCTGCCCGTTCATCGTAATCTCCAGATCGCCGCCTTCTTCAGTGTCCTCATCGCCTTCATTCTGATCATCGTCGAAGTAGGTTCGGGCGAGCATTTCGACAGCACTCACGCCAAGCTTGGTCTCGCCATTTTCATCGTCATGATCTTGCAGATGGTCTTGGGTATGATCGGTCACAAGACGAAGCGCTTCAACGTTTCGAGGATTGTGCACGTAGTCATTGGACTCGGTATCACCGTTGCCGCCGTCTGGAACTCGGCTGAAGGTCTCAGCCTCTGGGACTGGGGCCCGCCTCGGTGGGCTAGCTGGATCCTGTGGATCTGGTTCGGCGTGCTCGCGATCGCCTACCTCGCCGGTCTGGCGCTGCTGCCGCGCGATCTGCGACAGTGGCGAGAGTCCCAAGGAACATCGAACCCAGAAAAGCGAGACTACCTCGACCTGCAGCACAACCCTTCCAACGGCGCGTCCACCGAGCAGCCTTCGCCGAACGAGCAGCCCGTCATGCACCCTGGCTGGGGCGCTCCGCCACTGCAGTCAGCTACCTCGCAAGCATACCAGAGCTACTCGCAGCCACACACTGGCAATCGCATCTGAAGGGCCCGCTGTGCCTTTGGCTCGCTTGTTCTCGCATTCACGCTGCCAATGAACATTTTATGATCCTTCCGTCTGTGCGCATAGCAACAACTACCCCTGACCGTGCTTCAGGAAGTGTGAGGAATGCGCATCGTGAGGAGAGCTGGCTGGATCGAACAGCCTCGCCTTGAGGGAGTGGATCGGGTGTCCCTCACGCAAAGATCAAGATTGAAAGTGTTAAGTCGTCTTCTCCCCCGCTTCTTTGTTCGAGAAACAGCTGGAATGGCCGAGAGGAGGGTGGAGGCGACGCGATTTTTCCAGAACCGGATCCTTCTGCGCCGCACGAGCCGACTCAGCCTCAGTCAGATTCGAGCTCTAAATCGTACCGAAGCCATGCTTCTAGCCGACAGCGTTCCTTCCACTTCATATATACTCTCACTCAGCATGAAGGTCTTCCTTCCAGACGCCCATCACTCAACCACATAGCGACACATACTTGACACCAGAATCGAACGCATCTTCGCCGTATTCCGCATCCGCATTCCATCGATACCTCATCAGCGCTCCCATCATCGACACGGTCCTGAACCGATACCCACCTGATCCCCCAGCTTCCTCCGCTCCTATCCACCCACTATGTCGTTCGAATTCACAGACAGAGCACAGTCTTCCGTCTCGGCCGCGCTTCAGCTCGCCAAGGATCACTCGCATCCTCAGGTCAGCCCGGTCCACATCGCCTTGGCGCTATTGACCGATGACACCTCCAACTCGCAGGGTGTCCAGTCCACCAACGAGTCCAGCCAGTCGCTCTTCAAGAGCATCTGCACCAAGGCAGGCGTCGACATCAAGATCTTCGAAGACAAGCTGCGCACGGCCGTACGCAAGATCCCTTCTCAAACTCCTCCTCCCGACGACATCAGCCTCTCGAGTCCCGCACTCAAGGTGCTCAAAGAAGCCGAAGCCCAAAAGAGCACACAACGAGACGCGTACATCGCCCAGGATCACATCCTCCTCGGGCTCATCCAGGACAACACTATCAAGCAGCTGCTCAAAGAGGCCGGCCTCGCAAACGAGCAACTCATCAAGACCGCCATCACACAAGCAAGAGGTGGCCGACACATTGACAGCAAGAGTGCCGAAGCAGGCTACGACGCCCTCGCAAAGTACTGCACCGACCTCACACAGCTCGCAGCCGAAGGATCGCTTGATCCTGTCATTGGCCGAGACCAAGAAATCCGACGAGCGGTGCGTGTCCTCTCCCGCAGGACCAAGAACAATGCCGTCCTCATCGGCAGTCCCGGTGTGGGAAAGACGGCCATCGTCGAAGGTCTAGCACAGCGAGTCGTCGACCGAGATGTTCCCCCCAATCTCCTCGGCAAGATCCTCAGCCTTGACGTCGGCGGCCTCATGGCCGGCGCCAAGTACCGCGGCGAATACGAGGAGCGTGTCAAGGCGGTGCTCTCCGATATCGAGAAGATGACCGCCGACGGAACACCCTGCATCCTCTTCATCGACGAGATGCATCTTCTCATGGCCGGTCAAGGCAACTCGGGAGGCGGCATGGACGCCGCTAACCTGCTGAAGCCCATGCTCGCCCGTGGTAAGCTCCGCGTCATTGGCTGCACCACCGCCACTGAGTACCGACAGTACATCGAGAAGGACGCCGCGCTTGAGCGTCGTTTCCAGTCGATCCTCGTCAACGAGCCCACCGTCGAGGACTGCATCGCCATCCTTCGAGGTATTCGCGACAAGTACGAGGTCCACCACGGAGTTCGCATCCTCGATTCCGCTATTGTCTCGGCAGCCCAGCTTGCCAAGCGCTATCTCACCGACCGACGTCTCCCCGACTCGGCGATCGACCTGGTCGACGAGGCCTGTGCCGATGTCAGAGTTTCGCGGGAGACGGTCCCTGAAGAAGTCGACAAGCTCGAAAGGAAGCGTCTCCAGCTCGAGATTGCCGTTCATGCCCTCTCACGAGAGAAGGATCCCCAGTCCAAGCAGTCTCTCGAAGAGACCAAAAAGCAGATTCAGGCCATCGACGACGAGCTCGCTCCCATCAAGGCCGCCTTCGAAGCGCAAAAGGCCAAGGGCGAAGAGATCAACAATGTTCGTCGTAAGATCGAGGAGGTGCGCGCCAAGATTGCCGAGGCCGAGCGCCGCTACGATCTGGCCACCGCCTCTGATCTCAAGTTCTACGCGTTGCCCGATCTCGAAGCCAAGCTGCAGCAGCTGCAGGCTGCCGAGCGTAAGCGCGAGGAGGAAGGACGGAACTCGGACAATAACTCGGTCACTGCCGACTCTATTGCTGCCATCGTGTCGCGTTGGACCGGCATCCCTGTCTCGCGCATGCTGGAGTCCGAGAAGAACAAGCTGCTTCGTCTTGAGCGCACGCTGGCCAAGGAGGTCATTGGTCAGGACGAGGCGGTCAAGAGCGTCGCCCAGGCCATCCGACTTTCGCGTTCCGGTCTCGCCGACGCCAACCGCCCCATCGCCTCGTTCCTCTTTGCTGGTTCATCCGGTTCCGGTAAGACGCTGCTCAGCCGCACACTCGCGAAGTGCATGTTCGACTCGGCCGACGCCATGGTCCGCATCGACTGCAGCGAGTTTTCGGAAAAGCACTCGATTTCGCGCCTCATCGGCGCTCCGCCTGGATACGTCGGCCACGAAGAGGGTGGCGTGCTGACCGAAGCCGTGCGACGCAAGCCCTTTAGCATCGTCTTGCTGGACGAGATCGAAAAGGCCGCGCGCGAGTTCATTCAGCTCTTCCTCGGCGTGCTCGACGAGGGTCGTCTACAGGACAGCCAGGGTCGCCAGGTCTCGTTCCGCAACACGATCATCATCATGACCTCCAACTTGGGCTCGGCCTTCATCAACGACTCGGAGAATGAAGAGATGGACGACGCTACACGTCAGCTGGTGATGAACAGCATCAAGGCTGCTATGCCTACCGAGTTTATCAACCGCATCGACAGCATCGTCGTCTTCAGCAAGCTCTCGCGCCGCAACGTCAAGTCGATCGTAGATGTGCGCCTTCGCGAGATTGAGCAGCGCATCCAGGCCAATGGAGGCAAGTCGAAGCTGGTGCTCGACGATGCCGCCAAAGACTTCCTCGTCTCGATCGGCTTCTCGCCCACGATGGGCGCTCGTCCACTCAACCGTGCGATCCAGCAAGAGCTGCTCTCGCCCCTGTCGATCCTCATTCTGTCGGGCAGGATCGACATCAAGGAAGACGAACAGATCCGCGTGCAGTTTGACCCGCACCGAAATGGCCTGGTCGTCCTGCCGAACCACGAGGGCAACGCCAATGGAGTAGAGGACGAGCCGATGTCGGACGAAGAAGACGACGACTATGACCACGCCCGAATCGAAGAGGATCCGCTCGACTAAAGCGATGGCTCCAACAGCATCCAGCCCTGGCCCTTCCCGGGGCAACACTCCCGAATCGTCTACCACTCGTGCCGATGGCATCTCAGCAATGCCTCAGGCCGACACAGCAATTGATCCGCGTCGCACTCGCATTTCCCCCACTTGATTCTTCTCATTGTCACCCGCATTCAAGCAAAGTCACTCAATGTCACCGCTTTTCCAATGTCTTGCGATTGAAACCAAGTCGTGTTTCCATCCTTCCTGAGAGTCGTCATCCATGACGACGCTGTCTGAGCGAATTGTTCCTGTCTGTGTACGAAGCTGACTTCGAGCGAAAGTGTTGCGCAATCAAATCTTGTGCTGCTGCTGTTGAGGCTGATCCCTGCTCTTACCCAGCTGACCGCTCTCGATGAGCTTTCCATCGACCTCCTTCTCCACCTCGGGGATCAGCTCCTGCAGCTTATCCCAGTCGTTACCGATCAAACTGACGTCTACGCCGTTGTTCCACTTGGGGTAGCTGCCCACCTTGATGTCGAGCGGCTTGCACTTTTCGGTCAAACTGACGAGGAAGGGGGAGATATTGCTTTCGGGGAGTCTGGTGTGGATGAGGACGCGGTAGGGTCTAGGACGGTTGGGGTCGAGGGGGATGTAGGATTCGAATCCGTCGATGAGCGCTTCGAACAAGCGCGGTACGCCGGGGAGGATGCACAGTTTGCCGGCCATGCGCACGACGGGCACCCACAGCTTTTCCGTCGGGAAGATCACTTCTGCGTGTTGTGCGGGAAATAGGGCCATACGTTTGCGAGCTGTGATCATGTCTTCACTGATCCCGTCCGTGTTGACTTGTCGCGCTTTGAGGTTTTCTGCCATGCGTCGGATCACTTCTTCGTCGTACACGAGCTGCCCATCGGCCGAAAAGGCTTTCGCCATGGACTGATAGGTGATATCGTCCGGCGTCGGGCCGATCCCACCGGAGGAAACAACGAAATCGAATTGCGAAGTCAATCGTTTCGCCGCTTCGACAATCACCTCCTCGTCATCCGGGATCACCTCGATGCGCTTGAGTTCGATGCCCAGGTCGAAACAGAACTTGGCAAAGTAGTTCGAGTTGGAATCCTTGGTCTTGCCATTGAGCACTTCGTCGCCGATGATGAGGCAGGCAGCGGTGGAGACGTAGCGATTGGGCGCGCCGAGTGGGTTCGACTTGGAGAAGTCGGGCAGCGGCGTGCGTTCGAAGGTCGGCATCACAGGCTCGGGCGCTTTGTCGGAGGACGACATGGTGAACGGTCGGACGAGGTTGACGGCGGGTACAAGAGGGCGAAGTGGAGCGGTGCGGAGAGGCGAGAGTCGACTGGTGATGGCGACAATGCGTGCTGCGGGTCGAATCAACATCAACGGCAGGCAGACGAAGCTAGAATGGGCTGCAAGCTCAGAAATGAGGAAGAGCGAGGATGAGCGTGGGTAAGAAACGAAGATAGAGTCGCACGATGATGGCCGGACAAAGGCCGAAGAGCGTTCAGTCCGTGCGCTGCAGCTTTGCGTAAGATGCCGCTCTGGAATTTCTCCACTTTGCTTCCCCGCAGAGGCGGTCCGAAGGAAAATCGAAGTTTGTTAGACTTTGATGATGCGAGTGCAGCGAATGATTCTCGCCTCTCAGCTGCTCGACGTTGGGAGGCTCAGCACACGCCTCTGTGCGGTCGGGTCCTGGTAAGGTTCCATTGCAAGCGCTGCAGAGGTGTCTGTTGTATACAAAGCGATGTCTTCTTCTTAGGTATCAGCCTACTGCCCACAAGCAGCGGTCCAAACGGCATCGCCCACCTGCACTGCGTTAGCCTCCTTGACCGCCTCTGCATCCAAGAATTCCGACAGATCGCAACCGCCAAACTTGTCGGTCTTGCACAGCGGACCCAGGTCGAAGGGCGCCTTGTTGAGGTGCAGCTGGATCATGTCGGCCTTCTGCTGTCCCGGGCAGATGACCTTCCTCCACTCCATCTGGGCTGCGAAGGGGACCTGGTAGCTTGTCCTCCAGTTGCGGGCGGGGTTGATGGGTCCGTCCACCGGGTAGCTCTTGTCCGCAGCAAGGCCGAGGGAGGTGAGGATGAGGTCGATGGTGGTATCGTGAGCAAAGTCGAAGAAAAGACTCCTCTGTTGGCCGTTGGGCTCCTTGAACGACTCGGGCTGTGTCAAGCGCTGGGTGAGGTTCGAGACGAACAGCGAGCCCATCACCTGACCCGAGTTGTTGGGCAGCCCATACCCGAAGGCACCGCGCATGAGAAGATCCAGCTCGTACTCAAACTGCTTGATCTGCTTGGACGAGAAGACGCCGCACCAGTGACTCTTGGAAACAGAACCGTAGGTGGCCAGATCGTACGCGCACGCCCACAGCATTCCGTGCACGTTGTCCTGCGTAAAGTTCAATCCGGGCCACACACCCAAAACTTCGGCATTGAGCTGCTTGGCGATGGGGGGAAGGTAAACGTTGCCCCAGTCAGCGACGGGCTTGCCACCGGAAGCATAGGTCCACGTGGCACAACTTTCCATTGGCGTTATATAGCTCTTGACACCAAGGCTCTCGCTGATGAGATCGAGCTGACCGGTGGTGTTAGCGTCCTTCCCGAGGTAGCCAGCGGCAAACCACTGCGCAGATTCGACGACACGGTCCTGCTGGCCCGCCAGAAAGAGGGTGGTGTTGTGGTGCGGGTAATCAAGTCGCATCTGGACGCCGTGCGAGAAGAGCTCGCGGCGACCAACGGCGGTGAGATCATCCTGCTTGAGGGCGTCAGCATTCCATCCGGACTCCGAGAGGAAGGCGAGTCGCTGGGGCGGCGCAGAGACTGGCGAGCGGAGGAGGGAAGTATGGTTGTTGAGGTAGTACGAGAGGTTGCGGACGGAGCCAATCTCGGACGAGATGGGTCCGCGAGAACCGTGTCGGTGGATGAGAGAGACTTGGTCGACATGGCAGCCAGAGGGAACGCCGAGCGAGAGGTGGTTGGGGACTGGCGCGTCGAAGTAAGGTGAGAGGTTGCCGAGGTGGTGCTCGAGCACGAAGCTGGAGCTGCTGGAGTCGTGGTCACGACGGGGGATGGCGGAGGCAAGGGAGAGGGTGACGAGCTGGAGCAGGAGCAGGGCTGCTGCCGAGCTCTTTTGGAAGGTGGCGGCCAGCATCGTGATCGAGCTGGGTTTGCTGAAGGATGAGAGATGTCGAGCAGAAGGGTTGGGGTCGAAGCAATGAGGAAGCCTCTGCTATTTGTATTGCATCGCTTCAAACGGAGTTCTGCTTCAGTCCTTCCTGCGTTGAAGACACTGCTAGCGCCCGTGCCTGCAGCCAGCTCAGAAGAGGCGGATGCTGCTCGTACTCAAATCTTCTTATCTCGACCCCAGGTTCTTCGCCTGCGGCTGCTCGGAACCCGGGAGGTGGGAACACTGCGTCTCAGACAAAGATGCAAGGCTCGCCACCGTCGGACAAGGCTGCGCCGATGCGAGCCGTGTCTAAGCGAGATTGCGGTTCGATTAAGATTGTTGCTCTTCTTGACAGCAGGTGTGTCGATCCACGGCGGCAAAAGCAGGAAGAAATTCAAACGGCGCTCTCTGCACCGTCGGCTAGCACGCTCTCAATCGGCCTTCTCCGGTGTCAAGGCTGACGAAACGAGAATCTGACAATCTGCGAAAAATCAAGCCCGCGGGAAAATCATCCAACCGCCGCCGCCGCTTTCTCTCTTTGAGCCAAAAGTGCCAAGACTCGGTGCGGAGAAGCGCGCGCGTGGCCAAACGATAAAGGTGCGGGAGAGACCAACACTTTTGCACTTCCAACAGCGCAACACTTTCGAATTCCACACCATCACCATCTTCTATCATCATCCATCATTCACCCAACTTTGACAATCGCTCCCTCGAGTCTCGATTTTCCATTCAGAATCAAACGATGGAGCGAGACTTCACAGTCCTCTTCCGCGTCCGACCCTCCTTCCTCCCGACTACCTCTTCACCACCTCTCATCAGCACCGATGACTCACAAACCCAAGCCACCGTCCTCGAGCCGCGCACAAACATACACACGAGCGCCACGCACACCGAGCATGCCTTCACCTCGGATCAATGCTACCTCCCTTCCGCGCAGACCGAAGACCTCTTCAGCACACACGTCGAGCCTCTGATTCCATTCGTCCTCTCTGGCGGCTACGCCACCGTCCTTGCCTATGGTCAAACCGGCAGCGGCAAGACGCATACCCTCTCCGCATGCTCTCGCCTCGCCATCACCTCGCTCTTCGCCTCCAACGCTGACAAGTGCGATGTCACCCTCCAAGCCATCGAGATCTACGGCAAGAACAAGGTCAACGACCTTTTCGACGCTTCCAACGCACGCGTGCTCATCGCCGAGAACATCGCCGGCAGCAGCACCTTCGCGAAAGCCACGACAAAGACGGTGCTGACAGCAGAAGAAATGCTGGCGCAGGTGGAGGGCGCGTGGGCCCAACGCATCACCAGGGGCACCGAAAAGAACCCGCAGAGCTCGCGAAGCCACGCATTGATACGCATCATGTGCCAGCCAAAGAGGGACAAGAACGCAACGCCGGGAGTGCTCCAGCTGGTCGACCTGGCGGGATCGGAGAGGGCTGCGGATCACTCGCCCGCCTCAGGCGCAACGAGCAACGCGACCCGAATGGCAGAGACCGTTGCAATCAACACGAGCCTCATGACGCTCAAGAGCTGCATTCGTGCCCGCACTTCACCTGCACCACCGCCGACGACGGGCAACGCTGGAGCGGCGGCACCGCACATTCCCTTCCGATCCAGCAAGCTCACCCTGGCGCTCAAGGAAGCTTTCGATCTGTACTCGAGGCAGCCCACACACACGCTGTTCATCGCCACCGCCAGCCCGGATCAAGTGGATATCGCTGCCACGCTCAACACTTTCAGATACGCTTCGGCGCTCGTCTCCTCCCCGCATGCGAGGATCGAGCTGCAGCCCGACCCGTTGGGCCGCAACGTCTTCTTCTGGTCCTCCGCCCGACTATCCGAGTGGCTCCTCAAGTACGGTGCACCCATACTCAGCTCCAACAACGTCGCAGGCCTGGTCGACGGCATAGATGGTGCTCGCTTCGCAAAACTTCCAGAGGGCGACTTTTACGCCCGCATCCAGAATGCTTCCACCGGTCCCTGGGGAGGAAAGCAAGAGGCTGCAGCAAAGGAGCTTTACCTCAAGTGGTGGAAGCTCGTCATCGCCAGCAGGACACTGAGTCAGAAGGCGCTCGAGGAACAGTGGAAGTTGCGACAGGCGGAGAAGGTGAGAGCGGAGGAGGAGGAGACGAGGCAGGATAAAGAAGTACAGCGGCTGATGCGGTTGCCCGGAATCGCTGCTGCTCCGACCACCGCCTAGATTGGACATTGAAAATGGATCGTTCGTCGCCACTCGTCAGCACCACATGCAATACAGTATGACCCTTCGCGACACGGTTGAGTCATATGAAGACGCGAAACGGGACCGCGTTGGCGTTTAAAAGTACGACTTCTATCTCTTGAAAAGCCAGAAACTTGCACCCATCGCTCGCAGCTCCTTCCGCAACTCGTTGCCGACAAGAAACTCTATGTCCTCCCATGAGTCCTTCATCTCAAAAAAGCTGAGCCGCGCTTTGCCTCCGTGATCCATAATGTCTTGGTCTTTCTCTCCAGTTCTATTCCTTCCCCCTCCTGCTTAGCGGCTAGGCCCTTCACAGGCTCCTCGGCTTCAACAGTGGCATTCGGGCCAGTGGCATATCCGTTGCGTGGCCATATTATGCCCTGAAAGGAGAGGACTTGGATGTTGCCGAACTTGTGGGTTTGCACCGCGCTTGGTAGCTGCAGCCCCTGCCGGCAGCGCCGCCGTTCATACTTGACTGTGTTGAGAAGATGAGGTGTCTTATCGACCTTGTCTCCAAACGTCGCTCGACAGGCCAAGTCGCACAGCAACAGTGCAGTCTCTTCTGTCAGATAGGTGCCGATAGAGTCGTGGAGAGACAAACGATCTGCGACGCTATCCATTTCAAGAACTTCGTGGCAATTGAAAAGGAACGAGACCTAGGACACCACAGCACCTACGACATGTCTCCCTGCACCCAAGGAATCACGTTCTTCGCCTGACCCTCGAGCATTAACTTTGTGCTTGCCAGCTCGCCCTCTCCACAGCCCTCGGTGTCGAGCTCCAGCGTGTACTCTCCGGGGTAGAGAATCTCGTTTCCGCCCTCATCCGCCCTAGCCAGTGCAGCTTGGGTGACCACGATCTCGACGCTTCTCTGCTCGCCTGGAGAAATACTCTTCACCTTCGCATACCCAACCAGCGTTCTCTTGGGATAGGGTGCAGGTCCATTTTGGTGCTTGGCAAACAGCAGCGCAGCGTAGTCGGAGGTGACCTTTCCAATGCTCTTGAGGTTGACCTTGACGTTTGCCACCTCGACGTGTTCCGCGTAACCTTCTTCGCTACTCGAAATAGTGTATGTGCTGGGAGACTCCATCGACGCGCTCCACTTTGTGTAGTGCAATCCAAAACCGAACGGATAGGTCGGCTTACCATCGTACCACTTGTACGTCCTACCCGGGTAGCCAGCCGTCTTGTTCGCGCGCAAGGCCATCGTTGCCTCGGACAGCCCGTCGATGTAGTCCGCGGGGTACTGCGTGATGGGCAGTCGTCCTGAAGGGGCTACGTTACCAGCAACGACATCCATCAGCGCAAGTGCCCCGGATTGACCCGGGTACCCCGCCCACAGGAGCGCACCGACGTTGGAGTTGCTCTTCAGCGGCGCACCGTCCACCTGCCCGCCGCCGAACTGGGCGACGACCAGCGTCTTGTTGAGCGAGGAGAGATCGGAGATGAGTTGAAGCTGGTTCGATGGCCATGCGATGGAAGTACGGTCGAGGGACTCGCCTTCCACCGTCGGGTCGATACCGCCTGCGAAGATGATCACGTCGGCGTCGGAAGCAACACTCTTAGCTTCACCAGCAGAGGTCGAGTTGTAGGCTCCATTGATCGAGGTCCCGTTAGCCCAGACCACGGTCGAGTCGGTGAAGGTTCGTTTGGCAGCGTCCAGCACGGTGATGGTGAACGGCGATGGGCCGTCGTAGTTGCCGCGCAGCGCATAGGTCGCGTTGGTGTAGGGACCGATGACGGCGATCTTTTTGCCCTTGAGCGAGTCTTTCTTGAGCGGCAGCGTGGACTGGTGGTTTTTGAGAAGCGTGATGGACGATACAGCGCTCGTATACGCCAGACGCTGCGCAGGAGCTGCATTGACGTCGTTCCAGCCGAGCTGGCGCAGAGGCTGCGATTCGGCGCTGTCGAAATATCCCAGGCGCACGAGGGACGAGAACATACGTGTGACGGCGCGGCGGATCGTTGCAACGTCGGTCAGGTTCTGTTCGAGGGCCTGACCGAGGTTATCACTGTACGTTGCACCGCAGTCAAGATCGCAACCGGCGTTCATGCTGTCCGCCGCCGCCTGGACGTAGTTGTTGGCGTAGTGGTGGCCGTCGTAGACGTTGGCCACAGCGTCGCAGTCCGAGGTGACGTAGTTGTGACGCTTGCTCAGGCCCCAGCTCTTGCGGGCGAGGGTCTCGAGGTAGTACTTGCTCGCCGAGGGGGGTACGCTGTTGACAGCATTGTACGAGGTCATGAGCGTCGTTGCACCTCCGTCGCGCACACAAGCACGGAACTGAGGCAGGAAGAAATCGGCCAGATCCTGCTTCGAAACGAGCGCATTGAACTGATAGCGCTCCACACCTTGGTACTCCTCGACATCGTAGGCGAGATAGTGTTTGCACGTGGCTGCAAGTGAAAGACGGGGATTGTTCTCGTCGAGAGCTGCAGGACCTTGAAGACCATGTACGACCTTGACGGCGTACCTGCTGAGGTGGAGAGGGTCTTCACCCACGGTCTCTTGACCTCGTCCCCACCGTGGGTCGCGGAAAGCATTGATGTTGAGCGGGCTGTACATGTTCAGTCCTGCCTTGCCAGCGTTACTGTACGCGCGCGTCTCGTTGGCGATGTGCGAAGCGACCTCTTGGTAGAGAGCATCGTCGAAGGTAGCGCCCAGGTTGATGATCTGCGGAAAGCTGGTCGCGGACCCATACTCGGCGGTGTTGTCCGGGTTGAAGTTGACACCAGGGCTGCCGGCGACGCCGTGAAGTGCTTCTGTCCACCACTGGTAGTTGGGGATGCCGAGCCTGGGTACGCCTGGCGCAAAGTTGATGGTGTTGTTCACGAGTTCCGTGGTCGTGAACTCGGACACGAGGGCGGATGCGCGCGAGTAGTAGTCGAGAGAGGTGTTGCAGATGCCATTGGTGGAAAGGGGCGGAGCGGAGCAGTCAGGGAAGGAGAAATTGAGATGCTGGAGGGCAATCGGAGAGAGCGTGATCGCTCGTTTGATGTGCATTGCGTCAGTAAGGCGAGGCCACACTCAAGTGAGGCTGGGTAGTGCTGCCGGAGTATGGAGTGGATCTACTTCGAGCTGGTGCGAGGACAGGTTGGTATATATGTGCTCCCACCGCGAGGGGGAAGGACGGTTCCTTCACCACTGCCGTCGCTCCGAATGCTGTGGGACCCGTACTCTTGATTGACAAGACCTTGCGGGTGTACCGCTGCCTGTCTGCTTCTCGAAGAGCACACAACGTGTTCGGGCGTCTGTGGACATTACTGTGGGGTCATACGTTGCCCACCGGCAACTTCGTTGGGTCCATGTGCTGACTGAAGCCCAGCCACGACAATTGACCATCGGCAATGCATCTTGTGCGCTTCGATCCCTTCCCTTTGGTGCCTCCCCTTCCCACACGTCCCAGCGAGTTCATAGTCGCCGGTGAACCCCACATTGACATCTTGCGGCCCTACACTGCGTTCCGCCGGCGGACAGTAGTCGAAGGGACTTGAGCATAGACGACAGACAAAGGTCAGATCTCCAAGCGAGCTCTCGTATCGTTGGATGCGTGTGGGGAACTAAGCGAAGTACGCCGGTGCGTGTGGCTGGCTAGGCGCTAATGGAAGTCTCCCAGCCGTCGGCAATCTTTTCACTTGCTTTTCGCGATGCAAGGCTACCCCACAGTGGCTCGAGAGCAAGCGTTTCGGCTAGCAATCGCAGACCGCTCCCAACATTGCCGGTCTGCGCATGACATCGCACGAGTGTACGCACGACCGACGTTCGACAGAGAAGTTGAGGTCCGGTCGAGATGAGCACGCAAGTACAGCTAGGGACGCCTTTTTGATGCCTCCTTTTCGTAGCGATTTCTTTTCTGTATCAAGACAAAGCGCCTATCTTGACAGTAGTACTGTGATTAGGGTCCAGCTGGGACCCTTACCTGCGACCGGCTGGCATTTCATGTTCAGAGAGGATGCTACCATGCTTTGCAGCCCTGCCAAACACATAAAGACCAGCATCGTGGACGCTGAGCACGAAGATGACATCCTCTCCCTTGTTTCTTCCATGTGAGATCGAGCTGTGCTCCTGGGTTAAAATTAATTTGTCTACGCGCTGGTTGATCTCCGCGATACGCGCAGGTCGAATCGCGAGCAGCGGGGTAAGCGTGAGAGGTTTGTCGTCTGTGCGTTGCTCAGAAAGCCAACTTTCCGGTTTCACAAGCGCAACCACAGACACGGTATCATCCTGACTTCTTCCCCATCCACTCACCATCGACGTCGCGCGGCAGCACAACCTCCTACATCATCGTCGTTGATGACCCAACCTCGCTCCTCCAACCCGTGCACCTACCTCGTCCACCTCCTCACCACCACGCTCACGTTCGTCATGGCGGTGCTCTCCAAATCGCTCACCACCGTCGCTGGTGGGGCGCTGTTGCTGCTGGCATTGATCTCGCCTCGCTCGCAGAAGCTGCGTTTCTACCTCAACTCGTTCCTATATATCGCGGGAATGGGAATCTGCTCAGTTTGGGGCATCGTCGTTTCCGTCATCATGTCGCTGATCCCGGGTCAGAGGTTGAACATCAACAAGGTCGTTGCGCGGTCCTTCTGGCGTCTCACCGCGCCGCTCGTCGGCATCAAGTTTGTTGTTGAAGGCGAGGAGAACTTCAACAAGGCCGTCCCCGCCGTAGTGGTAGGAAACCACCAGACCGCAATGGACATTCTCTACCTCGGCCGCATCTTCCCCGCCCACGCATCGATCATGGCCAAGAAGGAGTTGCAGTTCGCACCGTTGCTTGGTCAGTTCATGAAGCTGTCCGGTGCGGTGTTCATCAACCGTAAGAACCTCAAGGACAGCGTCAAGACGTTCAGCGAGATCGGCGCGACGATGAACCGCAAGAAGCTTTCACTCTGGATCTTCCCCGAAGGCACGCGGTCCGGGTTGGCAACTCCCGACCTGCTGCCGTTCAAGAAGGGTGCGTTCCATCTCGCCATCCAGGCCGGCGTACCGGTGGTCCCCGTGGTGTGCGAGAACTACAACCGCCTGTTCGACTCGAAATCCCGCTTCGAATCGGGCGTCATCAAGATCAAGGTTCTAGAGCCGATTCCGACCAAGCACCTCACCGCACAAGACGCAAACGACCTCACCGACAAGGTTAGGAACGCAATGCTCAAGGCGCTGCAAGAGATGGACGCCGAACGACAGCGCGCCGATACCGCAGGTGGATTGGCCGAGGACGAGGCGAGGATGGGCGGCGTCGCCGGCTTCTTTGCGCAGTTCGTGGGGAGCGGAAAGAGCTGGTCGAGCGTCAACAGGAAGGTGGATCGCAAGGAGAAGCAGTTGCGGGAGAAAGGGACGAGTGGCGAGAAGCCCGAGGATTACCATCTCGTGTCTGAGGGTCAGAAGGGCAAGTAGGCGGAACCTCGAAGAAGGAGGATGCTAGCATGGTGCAGAAGGGAAGCTCGTTGCGGAGCAGTGTAGATATCATGCCACAGGCTCATCCAAGACGCCGAAGTGTAAAAAGACGGTCAATGCTATTGCTGTACACTTACGGAAGCGAACAAGCAGAGAAAGGACTCTGAAGTGTCGCCACTATGTTCGGGCTGTCCCAGGATAGCCCAGCCTCAGCGCGCGGGCGACTCATCAACCCTGAGCAGCCCGCAGCGGCGAGACCAAACTCCTCACAAACGCTCGCATCGTCTTGCCCGCATCGGCTCCCCACATGCCCACCGAGACCTCGTCGCAGCAACGCTCGAACTCTTGCGTGTGCGATACGAGGTGCCAGTGCTGGTAGACGTACGTCTTGATCTGAGCATGGAGCTCCTCGTACATCGACGTGGCGAGCAGCATCGGGAACGCCGACTGCGGTGTCAGCGTCGCGACCATGTGGAGCGCCGCGAGTCTTGACAGATCCTGCATGTGGTAGCGATGGGCGAGCTTGTAGATCGAAAGGGCAGAGGCGGGTCCGGGGTCAGCGCATGGATGGTCGTGCGGATCGAGTGAGCCTGAGGTCCCAGTCGCTGATGCTTCCGCCATTGTGCGGTGGGCTGCAGTTCCGTCCGCTGCGTGATGCTTGCCTGCTCCGCCTGCGCCTGTGGCGGCTGAAGGTGAGTTCGGGGCCGACAAGGGGCGAGCGCTACCAACAACGCCTCCAGATGAGGCTGCGCTTGTCCTCTGTCGAAGAGATCCAGATGTCGTAGCAGCAGTTGACGTCGACGCGGCAGTGTGCAAGGATGATCCCTGCAGGACAAAGGAGCCGGACAAGTCTCGTCGCCTGCCCGGTGTAGCATCCGATGGCGATGCATAGCTTGTGTCGTCGTCCATCTCAAAGTCATTGAATTCCTTGAGCTGCGAGATGGATGTCCAATTCGAAAGCATACTTTGGCGCATGCCGTGGTGGTTGGTGTCTTCGTTCGCTGATCCGACCGTGAGGTAGCCCTGATCAGCACCCCTCGCCCATTCCTCGTCCAATATAGCGCTGCGCACGTCTTCCTGATCGGCGAAATGAATGTCGTCGGTGTAGAGATATCGCAAGAACCGGTAGGCAGTGACAAAGTCGGCGTCGGAAATTTGTAGAGTACGGACGTTGCGGCCGCGCCCCTCGCTGATATCAGGATCACCGTAGCTACGGCTGATCCCCTCGCTGAAGTCCGAGGTGAGCATGGTCTTGAAGTAGTCGCTGCGGCTCTTGAGCACGCTCGCATGCGCCCACAAGACACGGTCGCGCACGAAGATGCGGTCTGGGTCGTCCTCAATGGGAGCGGAAGTGCCTGCCTCTGTTTCAGCCGAGGAAGCCGGCAAGCTCGACCCGACGGGGTAGGGCACGATGCGCCCACTGTCGGTGGCCATGGTCCCATCGAAGTGACCGTCATCGGACATGGAGTCTCTCTCGGATGAGCCAGGAAGCAAGACACCTCTCTCGCGCACCAAGATACGGACATCGCCCGTGTTGGCGTCATCGAGCAAGCCGTGCAAGGAACTGAGCATGGCCCTGGGAACCAGATGATGGCCTTTTACTTCGATTGGTGCACGGGTCAAGGCACCGTCGTCGAGCTGGCTGGACCTGCCGCGCGAGTGGCCAGGCCCTAGGCCAAGCTGAAGGGTCAACGTAACCGCATCATCGCGTGCTACGCTGCTATCTCGAAGCATCTCAGAAACGCTTGGTAGGTCGTGGCAGGTGAAAAGGTCGGCTTCTTTCTGGAAGGTGTAGTCGTAGAAGCGTCGCCACAGATAGCCGCCGCTTTCTGCGCCACTCCTTCCGACAGCGGCGCGAACCGGTCGCAGCCCCAGCATGATGGAAGCGGGAATCTCGACGTCGGCGTTCGTGTAGTCCAGGACCAAAGCAGTCAAGTAGACCGAAAGGATGGTGATGCTGGAACGTGGAGCGTTTGCGGTCGCGTCATCATCTTGTATAGCGATTGGATCGACGCTTGTGGTGGAGGCCGGCGTAGTCTCTTCGTCGTCCACATGATTGTGCAAGCCATTCAAAGGAGCCTGTGCCTCGCCCGGAAGGGGCCGGGTGGTACGAACGAGCTCGACCTTCCACTTGTTGTCGCCAAAGACAGGTTGACTCGTCCAGACATCACTCTTTCCTGCACCGGCGCTGACCGACCGGCCTCCTTCGGATGGTGGAGGAGAGAGCTCCACTTCCTCGCGCAGCAGATGCAGGTCGCGGATGGTCCAAGTGAAGGAGATGGTGGTCGTCTCTTCGAAAGTAGGCTGCTCAGTGGGAAGATGGAAAGACGGCAGATTCGAGTCGGGCCCAGTGACTGCTGATTGCGAGTTATACCTTCGCTGTTCGGAACGCGAAGCAGTCGAACTACTGAACGTGCTGCGAGCTTGACTTCGCTGAGCTGCAGGCGCGTAAAAGCTCAAGGCTCCAGTTCGTGGGCTGGAGATGGGTGATTGGAAGGCGGCTTGGACTGCTCGAGCCGGAACGGGTGAGTTGGAGCCGGCGCGCTGATGAGTTGGTGCGGTCCGAGAGGCTGGCTGGCGCCAATTGACGGGCGGCTGGTAGGTGGATGCATTGGCGGTGCTGACTTGCGTGGTAGGGTTTGCATCGTGCGAGTAGAAGCCAAAAATTGAAGGAATCTGGTTGTGTGCGGCATAGGTAGATGCCATGGCGGAAGCAGCCAGGCTATGTCGGGGAGCGACAAAAGGCGCGGAACGTTCACGTGCTGAAGGTATCTGAGCGCCGGGTCGAGGGAAAGGGCGCTGGGCGGCGTCGGTGGTTCTGGCGGTGCTGCCAGACAGGGATCTGTTGGAGGTGGACGCTGAAAGGAGTCCGCGAGCTGGAAGAGCTCTCGCTGTGGGTGTCGCGGTACCCGAGCTGGTGGTTGAGCCAGAAGATACCGAGGAAGCACGAGGCAGCATGGACGCTGCGGTGCTGGAGCCAGAAGCTGATGTTGTTGTCGGTGCTGCGGTCACGTCTGGCGCTTCGGGGCTGTGGACGGAAGGAGCTGTAACTTGAGCTTCAGATGGCGCCGCCGTGCCTGTAAGGGCATCTCCTGCTAGAGCTGAGTCGATAGCTGGCGTGCTTGATACAGCTGCGGACGTGTTTGAAGCAGTCGCCGACGGGTTCTCTTGCGTCGCAGTGAGAGATGCTGCTGAGTTGGTGGGCGTCGCCTGTGGAGAGGTGCCATTGGCTTCTGCTGCGCTGTTGACACTGCCAGCCACAGCGGCGCTGTCAGACTGCGATGCCATTTTGCGGGCACGATGGGGCGGGACGAGACGAGATTGCTGGAGTGAATGATCGTCGGCGGAATGTGGTCCGCTTGGACGAAGTGGTTTAATCAGCGACAATCGGAAAGACTGCCGGCAGGATCTCGCGAGCGATTGGGCGGGAGAGAGTTGCGAGAGCTAGCAAGGCGAAGATGATGGAAAAGAGTGAAGATGCTGAATGATTATGAAGGCGGAAGTGGGCGCAGTCACAGGACTGAGCCGCAACTGCAACACGTCCATCCGCTTCCGACGCAGCGCGGGACGTTTTCTCACGCCTCTCTGGATGCGGTCAGCTTCTCGGCTTGAGTCCGATATCACTTGCCATCGGTCACATTCCCAAACGCAGGCTGCGCTTCGGCCGTTCCGTCAGAGCGGACAGTGTTGCGCAGACAACTCGCTGGCGCCGAACAGATGAGTAAAGGGGCCAGCCAGCGCTTTCAGCAGGGTCCAAAGCTTGGTGTTGCATGCGCTGGATGCAGCTGGACCCTGAATTGCGATTGATTGCGTGCATCATGGCGCTCTTCCCCACTCTGCTATGAATAACTCCAAAGGTGTCTCTTCTACTAGAGCTAACAATTTGACCAATAAGACCGAGTCAGCTTAACAAATTAATAGAAAAGCGAGAATTCATCCATCCCCCATTGACCGCCATGATGACGCTGGATCCGCGGTTCGTGCACCTCGCCCATCTCTGGTAGCCGAGGGACCGAATTTGGAGGTGGCGTTTGTTCGTGACCAAGCTGACGTCGTCGCTGGAAGCCGAATTCGTTGAAGCTTTGTAACAAGTGCGTCAGAGCATCTAGGCACCTCGATCAAGCTTATGGGGCTTCAAGAAAAGAACAGTGAGCGCCACAGCCCAGGTGATGGGTCGCTGATGCATGAGCGAATATCGAACCCAGCGCTTTCTTGAAAGCTTTCTTCAAATCCCCACGTCAGAGACCAGGCTCACGGAACCGTTCCGATAGCACGTTGGGCAAACGTGATCCTATGGTCTGTCATCCGCCAGGGTCGAGGAGGTGCCGACGGATCACAGAGCCGCAGCAGTTGTCGGTGTCGCCGGGGTCGGTCCTCTTGCGAACAGGCTAGCGAGTCGCAATCGCTGCCGTAAGGCGGGGAAATCTGCGGACAAGAAGAATGTGACGGGGCGGTGGTAACTTTGGTCAAAGCCTCCTGCTGCCAGCCGATAAGCTAACAACCCATTGTGCTTGCTCCCTTGCTTCGACAGGGGCCTCGCACCACCTCCGCCACGCGGGTCAATGTCGCCGATTTCCTAGTCAAGGCAGCATCGGCGGCGCCGCGAGCAGTAGACTCGTATGGGCGTGAGCGTGCCGTGTGTCACTGTGGGTTGCTTCACCTTACTCCAGCCTTGGTTCGGAAGCGACGTCCGCCGCATCACACTGTGAGTGACAGAGCGAGAGAGTCGCATGTAGCATTGCGAGACGCTGCAAAGCCACACTGTCCTAGACGAGCGTCTCGCTTGTTCAAGTGCTTTGCGACAGCCTTCCCCGCAGCCGCCAATTTTGGGCGGCGCTGGCTAGCAATCTTCTCGCTGAAAGCACAATTTCCGCACAGACATGCATGCGCGTCACTGGAGAAATCGCTTCTCGCTCTGCAACTTAGCCGAAAAGTTGCCGCTGCCGTGACCGCCGCTGTCGCAGCGCTTCTGCTGTTTCTCCGCAGCCTCAGCTGACGAAGCCCCCGGGACTGCCATTGTGATTGCCTCCTATCTTCTCTTCTCGTCGAGATCACTTTGCCACTAGAGCCATCATCACCATCATCAGCACCTTCCTTTTACACCGTCACGTCCATCCAGAGTCGCGATTCGATAACTGTACCTCTGCCACATCAATCGCTTCCCATCATCAACCCCGCCATCTTTGAATCGTATCTCATCACCCGCAACACCGCATATTCACCATGTCAGGCAAGCCAGCCGCCGCCGCCGATGCCGGCCTCGAGTACACCAACATCGATGACATCCCACAGATCGTCAGCGACCTTCGTGCCGCCTTCTTGACCGGCAAGACGCGTTCCATCGAGTACCGAAAGAACCAGCTCAAGCAGCTCGCCTACATGCTCAAAGACCACAAGGACGACTTTGTCGAGTCGCTCAAGAAGGACCTTGGCCGTTCGCGCTTCGAGTCCATCTTCGCCGAGCTTATGGGCACCACCAACGAGATCGTCGAGGCTGTTGCCAAGCTTGACAAGTGGGCTAAGCCCACCAAGCCCTGGGCCGGCGTCGCCTGGGCTGCGCACGGCGCAAAGATCCGCTCCGAGCCCAAGGGTACCGTCTTGGTCCTCGGCGCTTGGAACTACCCGATCACTGTCCAGATCGGTCCTGTCGTCGGTGCCATCGCTGCCGGTAACACCGTCATCCTCAAGCCTTCCGAGGTGGCTGGCCACACCGCAAAGCTGATCGCCAAGCTGTGGAACAAGTACCTCGATCCCGAGTGCTACCGTATCGTCAACGGCGGTATCCCAGAGACCACCGCTGTTCTCGACCAGCGCTTCGAGCACATCTTCTACACCGGTAACGGCACCGTCGGCCGCATCATCGCCGAGAAGGCTGCCAAGTGGCTCTGCCCCGTCACGCTCGAGCTCGGTGGCAAGTCGCCCGTCTACGTTGACAAGAGCGCCGACCTCAGCATCGCCGCTCACCGTATCCTATGGGGCAAGTCGTTCAACTGCGGTCAGACCTGCATTGCCCCCGACTACGTGCTCATCGCTCCCGAGCTGCAGGACAAGTTCATCGCCGAGCTCAGGAAGGCGTACGAGCGCTTCTTCCCCAAGGGCAAGGGCGGTGTCGAGGAGTCGGCCAGCTACGCCCGCATCATCAACCCTGGTCACTGGAAGCGCCTCGACGCCATGCTCGGCGGTACCAAGGGCAAGATCGTGCTTGGCGGCGAGGGTGATGAGAACTCCAAGTTCCTTCCTCCCACTGTCGTAGCCAATGTCAAGCCCAATGACCCTCTCATGACCGGCGAGATTTTCGGTCCTATCCTCCCCATCATGTCTGTCAGGAATGTCAAGGAGGCCGTCGACTTTATCAACTCGCGCGACCAGCCCCTCTCGCTCTACCTCTTTGCCGGCGACAGCAAGGTCAAGGACTTCTTCTTTGACAACACTCGCTCCGGTGCCTGCGTGCAGGGTGACACGCTGCTTCACTTTGCCGTCGATGCTCTGCCCTTCGGTGGTACTGGTCCTTCCGGCTACGGTAACTACCATGGCAAGGCCTCGTTCGACCAGTTCAGCCACCAGCGTGCCAGCCTGGATGCCCCCTCGACCGGTCTTCTCGGCAAGATCATCGAGCTCGTCATGTCTTCGCGATACCCACCGTACACGGAGGCCAACCTGAAGAAGATGAGCGCGCTCGCCGAGTACTCGATGACCTTCAAGCGTCCCTCCAACCCACACAGCAGCATAACCAAGTCATCATCGGTAAGTCTTCTTGGTCTCGATTGAGCCTGTCCAGTATTCCCTTCCCTCTTCCGTGCTATCTGCCAGTCAGACTCCATCGTGCACAGACGAAGATGTTGTGCGCTCAGTCATGCAATCCTGTGGGGCCTTGCGATTGCCGTTGCTCGGAGTCGGTCTTGCATTTCGACTGTTGCGCCCATCGACACATCAGCACATGGTCCATCTCCTTTACGCTCTCAATCTCGCTCCTTTGATCTCGGTGGAACAGCACACTGAGCAGCGGACACGCACCCCCTTTCTCTCTCCTTCCCTTTCTGGTGGACTATCTCCTCCTTTGCCACTCCTCTGATGCGAATGTATGTTCTGGAAATACTGACGGGGCTCTCAAATCACGTGACCTGATCGCATCGACTGACGACCACCCTCTGCTCCATCGTCTCGATTTTCTGGTCGGCGCTCCCCGTGCGCTGGCTTGGTTACCGCTCCTCTGCTCGATTTTTTCGACGGTCGGACTTGCTGCGAATAATGCTTGGCGGAACCAATTTCACGCGCTTGGCGTATCTCGCTCGGAAATCCCCTCCCGCGAATTTGGACGGCTCACTTCTCTCTGCTCCTTGGGTTCACACCGTGCGTTCCAAGAGGTCGGAAAAGTTGTGACGAAGCGACTTGCCATTCTGGTTCTGCTCCTCTCGATCGTCTTTGGCGCCCGAAACAAGGGCCTGATCGGCTGGATCTAAGCGCGCTCTGCGCTTTCGGTGTCTTCTCCGGCGTCTCGATAGATAGATTTGGCCTTCTCCAATCGCTGATCTTCGGTCGAGTCGTTGCAGAAGGGTCCGGAAGGGCGAGGCGCGCTTAATTCAATTGGACGGACCCACGGTGTCGAGGATCGGGAAGCAGAATCACCCAAAAAGAAGGTCTCTTCGCAAGCACTTAATCCATCAACGGTGATTCCTGCGAGGGGACATTCGTGTTTGACGTTTCGGATAGCTGGAGAAGACCCTTTCTCGGCTAGGCCGCGACGTCGCTGTATACCTGTGGTCCGCCGTTGTTCGCCGTATCCTGTTCCGATGTTCTCTTAATCGTCTCTCTTCTCCGTGCCCCTCTTGTAATGACTCTTTCCGTATACTTCACGATTTCGTAACGATTCGTTGTCTTTCCCATTTTCAGTGTGTGCACGTGGCCTCTGCTTGCTCCTTCGCATCCACGCTGAGTGCAGTGTGTCGAACAAGAGCTTCGCAAATGTTGAGGCTGGCTTGCGGTCGGGTGTGCCGTCCCGGTCGAAAAAGGTCAATTCGAAGCTCGCCGGCTCTGGCTTGCAGACGCCGGCTAAGCAAAACGCCTAGAGAAGCCGGTACGCCAACCAATTTGAATTTTTGAGAATTTTGGGCGCTCGGAGCGGGCAAGGGTGCCGGTTGGACCGGGTCTGACGAGCGCCGTCGCGAGGCGGGTCGGCTGCACAGGCCAACGTAGCGTGTGCCGGTACACGCCTCCTTGCCCCGCACTCTTTTCGTCTTCCTGCCCCACATCCACGACCACAACCTGGGACACCATCCACGGTCTTTCTTCTTTCAACGCTTACCAACCCCATCAGCGTCGATCGTTCGAGATTGACTGCTTCTCGGAGACCAACTCTCGCTCGCAAGCACACACCCGAGCGCACCACAATCGAACGCATACAAATTCACACGCCACCCATCACCCACACGCAACCGCAAAGATGCCAGAAGACAAGGTCGGCCAGCACTACGGCGACGTGCGCCACGCGTTCGACCTGGACGCTTTGAACTCCTATCTCACCTCAAACGTCCCCGACATTGCGGCGCCCGTGACCGTCAAGCAATTCTCTTTCGGCCAATCCAATCCGACGTACATCCTTTTCGACAAGAACAATGTGCGCTACGTGCTGCGCAAGAAACCGCCTGGATCGCTCATGTCGTCCACGGCTCACGCTGTCGAGCGCGAGTATCGCATTCTCAAGGCGCTTCACGACTACACTGCCGGCTTGCCGGAGGGCAGCAAAGACGCGGTCCCCGTACCAAAAGTGTTCTGCCTTTGTGAGGACAAGGCGGTTGTAGGCACCGCCTTCTACGTGATGGCCTTTGTCGACGGAAGAATCTTCGAAGACTACCGCTTCCTTCAGATCTCCGACAAAGAGGAGCGCAAAAAGTGCTGGTTGTCCGCCATCGACACCCTTGCCGCTTTGCACCGCGTCGACCCCTCCGCCATCGGTCTCGGCGACTACGGCAAGCGGGAAGGCTTCTACACACGTCAGATGAAGTCCCTCGGCCGCGTGTCGGCGATCCAGGCCAAGATTGAGGACCAGAGTACCGGTCAGCCTGTCGGTCCCCTACCAAGGGGCGAGGATTTCCTCCGCTGGTTCGCACAGAACATGCCCAAGGATGAGAACACCATCGTGCACGGAGACTACAAGATCGACAACCTCATCTACCACCCCACGGAGCCGCGCGTGATCGGCATCCTGGATTGGGAGCTGTCCACGCTGGGACACCCGTTGAGCGATCTCGGGAACCTGCTCCAGCCGTACAGCATCCCGTGTAGCGATGCAAGCACGATCAATGACGTGGAGATCTGGGAGAAGAGCCGGAAGGAAGGGAGTCTGCTGCTGAGTTTGGGTGGGTTGACGGAGGACCAGTCGCCTGTACCGCTAGAGAGCACGTTGATCAAGCAGTACTGCCAGGGAACCAACCGTTCGTACCCACTGGAGAACTGGACAGCCGCCAAAGCGTGGGCGTGGTTCCGGTTGGCTGTCATCGCTCAAGGAATCGCGGCGAGGAACGCACAGGGCCAGGCAAGTTCGGCGCAGGCAAAAGTCTACGGTTCGAAGTTCCCCTTGTGCGCACAGAACTGTTTTGTCGTCATCGATGGAGATTCGAAGCCCAAGAGCAAGCTGTAGTGTTTAGAATGCAATGGACATGCATATCGATGGATTCGTGGCGTGTGTGTGGTGGAGAGAGATGTGAGAAAGACGGTTCAAGTTGCCAAGGATACTCCCCAGTCAGCGAGCAAAGCCAAGTGCCCTTCCGTCGACCCTGATTTGAACTCGACCAAACGCAGCACACTCACACACACACACACACACACACACACACACACAC